TTGAAACATCCCCTACTCTCTCTACTTTTAAATCATGTCTTAAAACTCATTTTTATTCCTTGGCTTTTAGTTCAGTATGAAAGCTGTGTGATCTCTGTCCTTTTATGTCTTTTATGATCCTTCTACCACATTTATTTCTTTTATGTTTTTGTGTTTTTCTTTCATTTCTTTTATTTTGTATTAAATATTTTGAACCTCTTGATGTTTTTTTTACTTCTGCAGTGTTTGTTCTTTTGATTTTACTCTGCAGCACTTTGGTAAACTTAAATGTTTTAAATGTTCTTTATAAATAAGGTGGATTGGATTGGATACGTTTTAGTAAATGTGAGAAATGTCTTTGTGGTGTGAAGCACTCGTTGCTGTGTTGTACGGCCTGCTGCGGCCGAACAGTCAGTATGGATGGCTTTGGCTGCAGATAAACCTGACTCCTTTATATCTTTGGTATATCAAAGATCCTCATGTGTTTTATACTGAACTGCATCATATGATTTAGGACTTTCTCAGGTTGAAGGTGACATCTAGGATCTTTAACAGGCTGTGGTGGGCTATCACCTAGATGTTGTTTGGGATTCGGGGATGACAGGAGCAGAGTCATTTTTCATGTATGTTTGCTCTGAGAATCTAATGTCCTGTAAGAAATTATGTTTGGCTGTCGATCTTCTGTATCGATAAAACTTCACTGAGCAGGATGATTGGTGACCGATTATGATAATGTGACCTTTTCTGCATGACTAACCTCTATTAGAAAAACTGAATAATTGATATGCATGTTCACAATTAATGTCAAATTTCACATGCATCATTTAGTCTAGTTGAAAAACTATAAGCCCTGAAGCTTCAGCCTGAACAGCAACTGATTTACAAATTACGACAGCACTCGTCTTTAGCCATGCAATGACTTAGATACTGTGTCTAGAATAATGCAACCACTTGTTCATTTATTTAATTTCTATCTTGACATAATAGTCTGTACTTTCAATAGTATAATGTAAAGAAAACAAACATTTTTAAACCCATTTTCTGCAGTAACAACAACAACAACAGCAGCTCATACAGAGTCCTGTTTACAGAGCCAATAATGATAGAAGAATATGAGATCTGTTTACAGGAAATAAGTAATAATGGACTGATGTTAAATTACTTGGAGATCAAAGTCAGCAGCCTAATAGTCGTTAACTCTGTAGTTCATGTCTGTAAGCAACAGTTCAGAAGAGATGAATGAGGTCAGGGACTCCCAAAGAGATCTTTGCTGAGTAACTTCACTGAACAAAAATATAAAATAAAAGACCCTTTTCTCTCAAATATTGTTGACAAATGTGTCTAAATCTGTGTTTGTGAACACTTCTCCTTTGCTGAGATTATCCATCCACCTCACAGGTGTGGCATATCAAGATTCTGATTAGACAGCATGGTTATTGCACAGGTGTGCCTTAGACTGGCCACAAAAAAGGCACTCTAAAGGGTGCAGTTTTATCACAATGCCACAGTTGTCACAAGTTTTGAGGGAGTGTGCGATTGGCATGTTGACAGCAGGAATGTCCACCAGAGCTGTTGCCTATGAATTGAATGTTCATTTCTCCACCATAAGCCGTCTCTAAAGGCGTTTCAGAGAATTTTGGCAGTACATCCAACCGGCCTCACAACCACAGACCACAGACCACACCAGCCCAGGACCAGGCTGGTGTGCAGCTGAAATTCTATAACAGAAAGTAGCGGGTCTACATTTCACTTACACAACTCTACATTTACAAAGAAGATAGGATGCAAAACAACATGGTGACATTTAATTTAAAAGTAGCATTTACAGTATTTTTATTATATTTTAAATGATAATTCAGTTTAAACATTTAATAATTTGTTCAATTTTCTGGTTAAAGTTATTTGAAAGCCATCCAAATCGGTTTTCAGTAGTATTTCATGTTGCATTACATTAATCGAGGATTTGATTGTCAAAGATATGATCTCTTTTGTAGAATTATACTCTATTTGACGCTCCCTTGGCGTTAAACATTATCTCTGGCTGAGTGGCTCCGGCAGCAGGCTAAGCAAGTCCGCACAGACGTCCATCATCATCTCCCCTTCTGGGTCTACCAGTTGGTTGGAGAAATGTCCAAAACAAAGCACACTGGAGGAATCATAATCAGACACCAGGAGCACTGATATCTCCTGATGCAAAGGAGTGACAGTTGAACCCCTTTAGAAAGCTCCTCACCTCGTGTTGAACGGAGCACAGCCTCTCCACTTTTATTTGACATGAAGCGTTATCCTTCCTGATATCATTCTGTCGAGCAAAGAAGCTTAAGACCAAAGGTAAGTGCTGGTGCCAGTAACAGCTAAATATTAATTATTAGTTAGTGATGTAAAATAAGATAAGAAGAACTTCATTTACTCTGAGGGGAAATTTGATAAATGAATGAATGAATAAATTAAATTCATTTTGGTTATACATTATGATGACAAAGCATAACAATTTGTGTTTATCTAAAACTACCAAAAACAAAATACAAAACAAAATATTGTATACGTCCTCTCTGAAATTCAGTATAGAGCTACACAGTTTTATTTTATCATTAATTTCATTCCATAGTTTGGCTCCCAAAGCTATAACACAATCTTTATTTTTTTTCATGTTTATTCTTACTTGTTTTGAAAATATACAACCTTCTTAAATTATACTTTCCTTCTCTTAATTCAATAAAAATGCGCAATACAAATGGGAGGGCTTTTATTCTTAACTCTAAAGAGTATTTCCAATGTTTTTAAGAACACAATATCTACAAATTTTAAAGAGCACGACTGAATAAATCATTGATTTGTTGGTTCACGGTAACCCACTTTTTTATTATTCTTATTGCTCTCTTTTGAAGCTTAACAATAGGGTCTATATTTGTTCTATAAGCATTTCCCCAAGTCTCTACACAGTTTGACATATATGGTATGATAAGTGAACAGTATAATATATACAAACATTTCTTATTCAACATATCCCTTGTTTTGTAATAGCAATGGATTTTGATTGTTTACAAATTTAAATAATATTTGACGTCTGGAATAATTAACAACATTTGGAGTCAGACAAAATCCAGCTTACACTTGTGTACTTTCTTTTGGTAGAACTTAAAGAAGCTTCATCTCAGACTATTAAGTTAAAGTCAGTCAAAAGTCTAATAGGTGTGAAAATGATTAGGAAATCAGCAGCAACCTGCATGTTGTGGGCCGTACTTAATAACCAGTCATACAGAGAATGAATGTTGCAGGTTCCCACATAAAGCTTTGGCCAGTTTAGCTGCACAATCAAACAATTACAGCAGAGAGCTTGTTCTCTACGTTTCCAGAAAGAGACAATGATCCGACAAACTTAATCAAAGCTGACACAAAAACAGGAACAGTAACTCTAAGAATCCATTAAAGAAATAAAGGTTAAATGATTAGCTGTCTCTATTCTACAATGACATTGTACATGCTCTTGATTGTTGTAAACACAGGACAGCGCAGAGCTGAGTTAAATAGACTTTCCCTGTTGATCAGCCTTCTGTTGCAGACACCTGATTCAGGTTTTTAGGTCAGGATCAGGCTGATAAGGTTTTAATTGGCATCCCTACTGGTAATTATAGGAGGTCAGACCATGTCATGCCATACCACCAAGTTTCAAAACTTCAGAACATAATGTTTTTTTTTTTTATTATTCAGGCTACATGAAATTCTCATTAAGTATCAACGTGAGGAATACCCTGACCTCTAAACACTATCCACTCATATGCACTTTAAGGGTAAACTCTATTCGCTGGATTATTATTATTATTATTTAATCTTTTTTTCCACTTCATATTAAGTATTTTACATTTCTGTTTTCTCAGCTGTTCTGTAAAGCCACATCTTTTCTCTGCACTTCAGTTTTTGAAGACCCTCATTTCTGCAAGAGCAGATAGGTACTGGCTATATTCAATCAAAGGATGAGAGAGAGGGGGAATGAAAATACATGTAGTGAGTCGACTGGCTGATAAACACCAGGGCCGACCGTTGATGTCTTGTGGCTGTACAGCTTTGCACGGCTCCTGCAGGGCTGCTCTCATCTTGAGCCTATTGAACAGGAAGATTCTCCCTGTTGAATGTTTGTGTAAAATGGTGAGTTTTGCTTCAAGTCTTGGTGCTTCAATTGGTCATGGCTGACTCAAAAAAAAGCTATTTGGTGTCTCGAAGAGGTGAACATTGTTTTTCCACTAAAGTCTGTAGCTGAGCTAAAAAGAGGATCATGATCCTATCTTCACTCTGAAAGACAAAAAAAAACAACTTAGAAAATGTGTTTTTTTACACTTAGTTTTCACATGAAATTCAGCGTTGGAAATCACATCTTGGTTCTGCACACAAAATCAAAACATGCCTCATTGTTCTCTGTAGAGTGTCGGCTCTCCCCTGATCACTTCCTGACAGTAACAACGTTTATCAGCAGGGGTTATGAGATTTTTTAAAAAGAAGGGGAAAAAAAGGCGCTTAGTTGAGACATTTGACTTTTAACGATTTTGTTGCCCCAGATATGACAAAGTATTCACCACTGACTAAAGCTTGCAACTGAGTGAGCAGCAGTGCTGCACAGGGATCCTTACCGTAATCATGCCAGAGATACGGAGCACTGAAACATTTATTTTCACATTTATTGTCAAACTGTCAGGAGAGGGAGCCCTTTTCTGACACTGTTCACAGCCAGCTGATGAGCTTTTTTGAACTTTTGGTTAAAACATAAAGGACTGTACTATCATTGCAGAATGTTAACATCGTTATGAAGCAACCTTACAAATCTCACAACCTTTTGAAAACAAATTGACTTGTGCAGACGAGAAGCAGTCGATTCATGACACCTGTCATTAACATGATTAAGGCTTATGAAGGTTGACATCAAGTGTCATTGGGTAAACTATGACACCTTTTGTACTGTGTTGACAACAATGCCGTCCCAAGCAATGTCAATATAGCACCACAGGTGTCATAAGTTACTGAATGCCATGTTGCATTGCTGTTCGAGTGCGGATCATCCAAGGAGCCAGGGTGCGATTGAGCGCTTCCACCAAACTCTAAAAACTGTGTGGCGCACTTATTGCCTGGAGTCTAACGAAGACGAGAAAGAGGATGTCCATCTCCTCCTCTTTTCCACTCGTGAGGTGGTTCAGGAGTCTTTGGGTTTCAGCCCAGTGGAGTTGGTTTTTGTGCACACTGTACATGGTCCTCTTAAACTCCTGATAAAGAGCAATGATAAACCACACAAGTTGTTTGATTTTGTCATCAAATTCTGTTTCAAATTGGCCAAGTAACACATGTCTATGTCCCAAGCCCAAATAAAAACATGGTTTGAAAAGGCCAAAGTTTTAGTCCTGGTGATAATTCTGGTTCTGGTTCGGCTTTGCAGGCTTGCTATAGCGACCGAAGTGCATTTTGCACTCAGGTGGAAGGACAGGATTTAGAGGCCCAAGGAAGAGCAGTCAGGAGGCGTAGGAGGAAGGTAGTTAGGGGGGAGGGGCTACAGCGACGGTCCATTGCATGGCACCTTTCCCTTTTAGTTCCTTTTGGCCGGTGTCTGTTCTTTTACTCATATGTTATGGACCGTTTTACGAGCTATTTGAATTAACTCGATTAAGGAGGCTGTAACATCGAATGACACGATGTCAGCCTCATCTTGTTAATGACAGGTGTCATGTCAGGATTATGACAGTATAATGTCAGTTACCATTGTCCTTCGACCTCTTCAGCATGGCTGGCCTTTGCCCTTAGAGTAGTTTGGTCTGTGTCTGTAAGACCTCATGAAATAGAGAAAAAATCAGATTCAGGAGACAAAGATAAGAGAAGAAGACGTGCAGCTCCAGTAGTATCCAGTAACACGAAAATGGTTTCCCACCAGCAGACCCAATTACAGCCACTATCAGGTTTCTGCAGCCATAAGTCTTTCTGTCTTCACACCTGATCCTCATCAAGTGGACCTGCAGAGCTGCACATGCTCTTCACACATGGTGTGTTCAAGACTTCAGGAAATCCTTAAAACCAACTTGTTGTTTTACTATGCAGATGTTTCGCAGTGAAAAGTACTTTAAAGCGTTTAAAGAGATTTTATCCTAAAGTAAAAACGGTGGGTTATTGTGGTATAATCAGATAACATGTATTTGTCTTTTGTGATTTATTTGAACAGAAATGTTGTGTACAGATGTGGTAAAAATAGGACCCAAGTAATTTAAATAACAATTAAAAAAACAACAACAAAACAAAAACACTTTAATGGTCCTCAGTGTGATACATAGCTTTATTTCAATGGTTGATTCGTGAAAATTCTCACCACTTTGTAATTAAATGTAGATTTTCTCAACCTTCTCTGACCTGTAAATGATCTGGAATAAAAATAGTACAGTGTTACTTTAGTACCTTAACTAAGCCAGCATGTTCTACCTTGAATTCTTTTATTCACATAACGATCATTGTTAACAACAGAGAGGCTAATAGAAAAAAAGACACAATAAAAAGGTTTATGGAGATGTGGAGAATAACATTGTAAGGAAACCATAATTAAATCCAATTACCATGAAAATTGAGTCAAAGTAATACAATTGCACTCAAGTCCTACAATTACAAGAAGGAGGTCAAACTGTTATAAGGAACAATTTATTCAGAGTGAAATTTTAATGTTATAGGAATGAAGTCGCAGTAAGATCATGATATTTCCTGGCGGCACAGAAAGTGCGCTGAAAGCTCGCTGATTTAAACCTGGTCAGCCGGAGAATCGCCCCCTCCTCATGTGTGGTCTTAACGGCCACCTGGCATGGGAGTAGCAGTGGATGGCTCCGGAGTAGGCAGCAGCCATTCTGGGGCATCCGCTTGTCTCCTCAGACTAGAGGCAGCCGAGGCCACAGGGAGCAGGCAGGCCTCGAGAAGCTCATGCAGAGACTGCACACGTGCCTCCATTACCCGCTCCAGGGACCGGAAACGAGCCTTCATCACCTGCTTGTGGGACTGGAGAATCACCTCCAATCCACGGAGCTGGACACTGATCGCCCCAAGCTTCCTGTCCAAAATTCTCCGGGAAAGGCCAGTCCACACATCTCTGCACCCTCCCCCCGTCCTGCTGCTGCTGCTGCTGCTGCTGCCAAGGCCGGCCAGATGATTTATTTTAGTGATCAAATGAGTGATTCATTTTGAAAATGTGAACAAAACAACAAAAGACGCTTTCATCCAAAAAAACCTTTTTATCTAATATTTTCACATCCTTAAATTCTGTGAATATTCAATCTAGAGTTCGGTTTACATGCCAGTACAATAATCAATTGCGTGAGCTAAGTTTAGTTCACATTCAAACTTTAGTGGAAGCAAAAGCCAAGCCCCGGAGCATGAGGCATCCTTTACACAGAGGTGGTTTTCATTTCAATCCTGTTATGCATGGCATTTGTCTATGTTGTGATCTGTGCACACAATCTATTTCTGTCACATGGGGTTAAAATATATGCAACTTCATGTGTCTTTATTTGTGGGAAAGGATGTTTGTGTTACCAGTGGGCCCAACCTTACACACACCAAATCCCTCTGTGCTTATCTAAGAGTGTGGAGGACGCTCTCTGTAACGCTTACCCCGACTCTTGTTGAGGGGCTGCCTCCAGTCACCACAGTGTGGCGTTGCTGTCCTCGGCCATCTTGCCGACTACTCCCCCAATTTTGCAGTCTGGGTCCCTTCAGACAGTGAGAGTCCAGTTCGGATTATCTGCTAATTTGGTCGATGTGATCTCTTCTGTTCTAGCACTGCTCAGTTTTGTTGTTCGTTGCTTATCCCAGTTTTTTTTGTTTGCTTAAATTACAATAAATCACTTGCCTCGTCCGTCATTAACATCACTGGTGCCTTGTGTTGTCTCTCTTATTCCCGATACTCACTGGGTTGTAACATAACACATGTGGCTAATTGTTGACTAAACTTTCTCGCAGCATAATCACCTTCATCTCTCAACATAACAACTTTAACCCCTCCCCCCATTAATACCCTAATACTCTGTCATGGTTGTTCACCACTTAGATTATAAGGTAATATTGTTGTAAAGAAGAAAACATTTCTTGTTGTTCAGTGAAATGACTTATGTAGTGGTATTACAGAGTCTTGAGGAGCTGAGCACCCTTCAGAGTCTTGTCCCTAAATCACCTCTTGCAGGTGCAGTTTGGTGTTAGAAATCTTTGGACATGGCGAAGCACACAAGAAGAAAACAAAAGACATCGGCAGAGCATGTCCTGTGGCATTTAGCTCCAAAATGTCATATTCTTGTGAAACAAAAATCAATAATCGGCTCTTAGGCACTCTCTCTCTGTTCCTGTGGGAAATCCTTAACAGCTCTAAAAGCTAATTAATAACATTGTGTTAGTCAGCTGTAAGTGTAATCGTTAAAAATGAAAAATACAAGTTTTAATACCTTGTATGGATGGAAGAACATGAATTTAATTTGCTCATTAGGATCACTCTTTGAATTGTTATTTTCTGTGGCTGTGTAGGTGGAAACATAAAGTTTTAAAACAGCCTCCCCGGTTCCCAAACCAGGACAGCAATTCGACTTATAGTGAAAGAGTGATGTGTTTTCAATGACAAAATAAGTGACCTAACATCTACAGTGGAGTATAAAAACAAAACTCTGTCTTTCTGTTTAAAGCACTAACTCAGTGGCGCTGCTAGACATAAAGCTCTACTGAGGCACAGGCCTCCTACTATACTAATCGATCAGTCACTTGATGTACAGAAAATCTCAAAAACTATCCAAAATGTACAAACTTGTACAAACAAGCTGCAGGGTTGGGGAAGGTTTGGGAGTCACCCTGGTGGAGCAGCAAATGTTATTTAAAGCAGAGGATGCTGAGCGCTCCACCAAGCAGATCCTCCACACTGAAGTTTTCACTTGTCCAGCCAATCACTGACCTCTAACTGCTGACTCCACCCACCCACCCACACACACACACACACACACACGGATCCACAACACAGACAGAGCACTCACTCTAAAACATACAAAAAAACAACAAAATATGGCCAGGGGATGAAAATGTTACTTTATAAACACCATAAGAAATTACAATCAAATTTTTCTTGTCAATTTTTTTCCTTGTGTGTGTAAAGTGTTGATTTGCTTTTAAACATGTTTAATTGTATATATTTTGTGTAACAATATTGACTAAATTACTTTTAGTTCAGTCAGTGTCTTGGCTCAATATCCCATAAATTTTGAACCATGACCACAAACTGTAGGTCTAAATGAAACATGTACAAGTAAAATGACACCATGCGCAGCAATGTCATGAAAAACAAATCTAGAGACAGCCTTCTCGTGGATTAAAGGGGACCCCTCACGTCTGATTTGTCTTTAATATCTTTACATGATTTTCAGACACAAAAAAGCCTCAGATTTCTCACAGTGGTGAATTAGAGGCCGTCTGAAAATGCTCTTTTTAGCTCCTATCTCTGTAAGCCCCCCCATAATTCTTACATCAGCCTTAAATTGATCTTGAACATAAACTACAGTCTCACATTTGTAACTTTGTGTTTGTAACTTTTTGTTGTAAATGTGGAAAAGCATGATACCCCTCTTTTAACAGAAACAACATCTCTATTGATATACATTTTCAATGGCAACCGTTTGTGCAGAGGTGAGGACTCACATGTCTGTAGCCGCGTTATGCTGTGGACCACGTTGTATTTCCTCCCGTCCTTGGTCACACGCTGCTCAGGGAGGCAGTATGGCCTCAGGATGAGAGTGTCAGTTCATGCTGATGTCAAAATGGTGAAAAAATTACCTTCAAACAGAGCAGGCAACAAACCCATTGGAGATACATATATGCATATATGTTTTATTATTATCTTTATATAAGCACACAATGCTATATAACAGATTTATCGCTACAAGACCGTTGATTTATTTGGAAACAGCAGCGTCCACTGCCTTTTGTAGGACACCGACTTTGACCCTGATGAAGTCAAACAGACTGTAAAAAGGCACAATATGGCCTTTAAAACCGTGTGGTGGAACAAGAATACCAGAAGTTTGTTTGAGGGTTTGGTGCTTAAACAATGAACACAGAAATATACTCGTAATTAACTAACTAAGAAACTAAAAAGGGATGCGTAGAGACAACCTGATAACCCATGCCACCAATTAAATCAACGTGCAGAAAGAGGTTACAGCACATTCGCTGAAGATGTCACCTCATCCAGCTGAATGAATGGAATCATGACATCCACGACACGGAGGATATTTTTATACCACTCTCAATATAAAGAGAGCACAAGACGTGTGATAATGGCTGATCAGTCGCCAGCAGAAAAAAGAAGATAAAAAGTGGAACAAAAGCAGCTTCAGTGAAACACGAGTGTCTGCAGATTCAAACAAATCACAACACAACATGGGATCTGTTTGTTACAGGACTGTTTTGTTACAAGAGCAATAACACCTGATTAATAAGAGACAATTCAAAGTGTCAGTTTATTTGTACATGTGTAGTTAGCTGATAGTTTTGTCAAATATAATCCCAAAAGGAACATCATCCTTTACTTTTTAAAATAAACAAAAAACAGTTTTAAAGGTGATGCGATTCAGAGGGCGCAGTAAGATCTTCTCAGATTAAATTTTGAGGGAAAAAAAACAAAAATGTTCGTTTGAAATCACAATTCAAAATGCAAACAAGAAAGTGAATTAGCTACGTTGCAGAGAAATCTTGAGACTGTGGCATATTAGGGCGGATAGTTTGTTCGACTTAAGCACCGTCTCTGACAGGGTAATCAGACTATCATCATCTTGATTTCTGGGGTGGCCAATCAAATTTTAGCAGCTGTGGTTGCCCTTGGTTACCCCCTGACCCCGGCCCTGTTGAGTCAGTGAACTGACTGCTTTCCGCTGCATTAAGTAATGAGTCAAAAAGTGTCGTATTGTGAGCTCTCATTTGTTACTGTCATGATAGTGCTTCTAGTTGTGAATATATCTACTGCTTTGGGTGCAAAATACCGGCCACACTTGGGTTGTGAGTGATTGTTCAGTATGAGCTGCTCTGTGACAGATATGAAGTAGGTCTCCGGGAATCCCAAAGTGTGGAGAGTGGAATAGGGACAGGGCTCTGTTGCTAAATTTCAAACACACCATTTCTGACTATTATAGGTAAAATGAGGAGTATAAGCTGAAGTGAAGATGTTTTTCTGTTTCTCACAGACCTCATGTGGAAAAATAAACAAACCCTTTACAAAAGTTCAGAAACAAAGACTCCTCTCTGCGACCTCTTCCTGCTCTCTGGATGCTATCACCTGTCCTTCCCCTGTTCTCTCTTGCTGGCCTTCCTCCTCCTCCTCCTCCTCCTCCTCCATCTGAAGATTGACCCTCCCCTTCAAGAGCAGCATCAAGGACCCATCTGTGGGTGAACAGGGAGGAGGATGAGGGAGAGGAGGGAAGGGAAAGGATCTCCATAGTTCTGCTGATTTACAGCTTCACTTCCTTGACTGTGGCTCCAAGCGACGGGGCCAATGCCAAACCTCCACTGGGCAGCACCTTGTGCTTGTTAGATTAGTTTTATGGCCTCTGTCACCTCATGTCTTAAGTGTCTTTCCTGCCGGAGCTACACATCACTAAATGCTATCACCAGATTCCATTTTACAACAAGTGCCCAATTCCAGTAATACAGTTATGGCTGATGGCTTTAAGATAGTACTGCTGTGGATGTAAGGAACTCTGCCTTCTGAACACAGCTGGATGAGAGGAAACTGTTGGCTTGTTAGGTGGAATTCATGTAAAATAAAAGTGGTTCAGCGTGACTGACTCAGAGGATCTGAGCCGGTCTGACATTCAAGGAGCCTTGACCCATGAAACATTATTGTGATTCTGTCAGTTTGACCACACAAATCTTGATACAGCAGCTGCTTCACACACAAACGAATAGATATCTGCATGAGTTAACATGATTTTGTTTGGTAACACTGCTGCCCTTTTGCTGCTTTGTACTGAGATCTAGATTTCTTGTCGCATGTCTTTCTGACACACACACACACACACACTCATACTGCTTGTGAAAAGTAGACAGAGAGGGAATTTATTATGATGAAAAAAATAAAATAGCTGGCTGGTGTATGGCAGAAACATAGAGTATCATAGACTATATATACTATGGAAAACTTTGCTCCATCGTCCTTCGTTAAACGAATTTGAAGCCGAATTGCTTTTCGTATTTCCGGGATTTTCTCCACTTCCTTGAACCACGACACGCGCTGCAGCATTGTACGCATTCGGCAGGAGAGTCGCTGTGATGATGCTCAGCTCAACCCCCCGGATGAGCCACGCAATCGTTGTACATCCATAGGCTGTATCAAGTGTCAATCATAGAAAACATGAACCCCCTAATAACTTTTAAAAATGGAGCTGCACAGAAAAAAGAAGAGTTGGGCACAAACCAGTCTGACAGGGACGGTTTAGATTCTGTGTAATTGACTTCTAAAATTTGTCCACAGCTCCATAGGGATTGCTGGAGGAGGCAGGATTTATACTTCATGACCTATACTGCAGCCTGTCACCAGAGGGTGCTGTTCTCATGGTGGCTTCACCCATCAAGGAGGCAGACGGCGTCTATTCTATGTACAGTCCATGGGCAGAACATTTGAAACTGACATTGATGACGTGTTGATGTTCGGCCATGTTTGTTCTGACCCTGTGAAAAATATCCATCAAACATCCTTTGAATAAATGTTAATCTTGCTTTTATCAATAATGTTTGCTCATTTCAGATTTGATGGCAAGTGTTCACAGCATATCCCCGCTCACTTTGAACCGTCTGCGCTCAGTATTATACATCAGAAAATTTCCCAAAGACACCACAATGAGCAGCAACATTGAACTGAGGGTGGTGTCACCTTTTTTGAATATTGAATTTCCTCCCAGATAAACAAAGTATTCTATTTCTGATGATTTTTGTGACTCTTTTTAAACTTCTTGTGCCTGAGTTGTTAAAAACCCATCAGTAGACCTGACACAATCCAAGAGCACAACATGAGGTAATTAAAGGAAATCTGGATCCTCAGCAACGTGCAGATAAGTTAGATCTGCCACTGAGTCTCCGCCGTGAGAGGCAGTGTTTGCTGTCACCACAAACACATGGTCCATATAAACACAAACAAGTCTCCTCAGAGGAAACTGAAAGTCTCTCAGGCTTCCATTATATCATATTTTGCCCTCATGGAACAAACTGGTCTGATCAGTAACAGAACTGCTTGATCGCCAAAGTGACTCCAGAGAAATGCAGGCCAGTTCTTGGAGATGATTGACCATAATGTACAAGATTGCTCACCTTTTTGAGATGAAGTTGTGTAATGTAATGGTTAATAGTCCTGTTGCTGTGATACCCACAGAGGCTACCACTCAGCTCCGGACCCAGTACAGAAGCTAGGCTATAAACCACAGAGTCAATCTAACCCCATGATTTTACTGGTTTTAGGAAAGTACAAACCAAACATGAATGCTGCTGTGAGTGTACAAAACCATTGGGAGCCAGCCAACTCTGGTCACCTCTTGACTCCGCCTTCTTTCTTCAACTTTCAGAGGTTTAATCAGAGAACCAAAACACAACTCACTCACTCTCCTCCAGCAACCGCTTGTTTGTGGGGGGAGCCCTGACAAGTCGATCACCAAGTGCAGCGGAGTTTCGCAGCTCAAGGAAGAACATTTAAGATTATTACTTCATGGAAATACAATCAGATTTAGACGCTAAGGCAAAAGAACTACCACGTCTGCAGTGAAAAATGATTATTATGATGATTATTACTTCATGGAAATGATCCGTTGCACTCAGTGATCGACTCGTCCAGGGTTCCCCCTACAAACAAGCGGCTGCTGGAGGAGAGTGGGTGAGTTGTGTTTGGTCTCTTTGCTAAAGATACCAGGCAAAGCTAAAAAGCTAAAAAACCTAACTTAAATTTATGCCGGAATATCCCTTTAATGTTAGCTGCATTATATGATGAAGTGTCTGCAACAGGTCATTAGCTAACTCTTGTCCCACTTTCTCAACAAAGGGGCAAAACGAACCCCCCAGCATCCCCACACTTTTGCCAAGTAGCCAAACTCATACAACTCAACTTTAAAAAGACCTGAAATGACCCCTTGGAGGAAGCCAAATGCATTTTTATTTCTGTTAACCAAAGACGACATGGGTCTGGTTAAAGTCTGCTTAATGCGTCTGGAAGTGCAAGAAAAACATCAAATGTAAAAGAGGTCTGAGTCTTAAAAGCTGCTGATGTTTGTTTTGTTAAGAGGGTTTGCCGTAACAATCAAGTTCTGATCATGCTGCAATGTTTTCAGAGTTTTTACATTTAGGTTTCACTGGGGAATAAAGCTGAAGTAAGGGTAGCAGAGACCAAACCGTCCAAATATGACGACCTAGCCTTGACCCCAAACTTGATCTTCTCCTGTAAACACAGAAGCATCACTCAGTACAGACTGGAGTGCTGCACTCCCTGCCAGATTCAAAGAAATTCTTGGAAAGCCTCTCCGTCCTCATCCCGGCTCGAACATCTCGAAACTACATTTAGCTTCCCAGCCGCAATAATTATGCAACAGGAGGTGGGATAAAGCGAGCTTCCCACTCATGCTATAACGATGACCACATATAGCCTTCAGCATATCCTCCACATCACCTGCATAATAGACTTAAAGCAGAGGAGCGTGGAAGAGAAGGAGACAGCTCCTGCATTTGTTGATTTGTTTGTTTGTGTTGCTGCTGATGAAGATGGTAAAAGCAGAACAACAAGGAAACAAAAGCAAACCTCACATTTACCCAAATCTGCCCGCAGCTGTCCAACACTGCATTCAATGCTCTCTCTCTCTCTCTCTCTCTTTTCCTAGCTCCCACACGCGCGCGCCTGCTCACAAGCGCACGCGTCCCCCACACGGGCGCGCACTCGCGAACCTGCTCGCTGATGCACCGCACAGGAACCCCTGACAGTGCCCGAGCATCCGCCTGCGATCGCTGCCTGGCGTCTCCTCCGCTCCGCTGGATGTTTGCGCAGAGGACACCTGCCACCTCCGGTCACTGCACCGATCTCTGCGTCGGCGGCACCATCCAACCCGTCTCCTCCTCTTAACTTTTGCAACGTGAGGCGTGATCTTCATGTCTTTATGCACCTGTTTCAAGACTATGTTTCTATTGGATAAAACGAGCCTGTAAATCCCGGTTCGACTTTCACTCCGGGACTGTATGGAACGTTTATCGGTGACAGATTTGGAAAGTTGCGCTGCGCTAAGGAGCATGGGCGCAAACTTCAAAAGCTTTTTCTAATCCAGAGACAGTTTTTAGAATGAAGGCAGGTGAGTCGACCCCAGCGTGAGAGGCACGCAGAGCACCGGGGGCTCCAGGTACTGTCAAGGTAAAAAGCACGGGGGGAAGTCGTGATCTGTGCGGCGGATTGCGCCACAGAGGACGGAGGGAACGCACCGATGAGACATCATGGGTAAGTGTGCGGAGGACTCTCCTTCTAAAACAATTACCGCCTGAGTGTGAGCCCCCGGGAGTCTGCAAATCAGCACAGTTATTAGTGAAGTGCACTCGTGGTCCGTACAACGACAGCTGGGGTTGTGTTTCTCCTCCTTGGCGCATCTGGGAGAGAGAAGAAAAAACATCCAAATCTTTCTGGGCTGAAATAGAGCAGTTGGTTTGAGCCACTTTCCCGCAAATGTTTCCTGTGATTATCTGCTTTGCTGACTATCATCATCACTGAAAGGCTTTCGTCTCTGTTCGTGAATGAAAATTATAATAGGGGTGGGAATGTGCATGCTTCTAAATGTAAGAGGTGATGAGGTGACATGCTCTCCTGAATATGGTGTGTAATTGTGAAAGCCAAAAAATGAAATCCCCATTAGTCAACGTGGTGTCAATGCACAATGAGTTTAGGCTCATAATAATAGCCTCACTTGCACGTGATGTCCTTCTTACTGAATCTGAAACGTCAAGTTTATTAAGACAATCACAAGATCGGACTCTACATGGAGGAGATTTGCTGAGAAGTGTCTCTGAGATGTGTCCTCTCAGCTTCCCCCGGTCCTCCAAATCACGAATTTGACATGTTTTGACTCCGTCCCATTTCTTTTTTACCTCCTCTCTTCTCCTGACAGCTCTGGGCACCTACAATCTCATCCCACACTGCCTATCACCTCCTCCATTTTACTGACTGTGGGTGCTCCAAAGCCTCACAAACCCACACTGCTCCTCACTGTTCCAGCGGAGGGCTTTGCATTCTTCTTCTCCTTTTTTTTCTTGTTTAATTTCAGAGAGCCTGTCAAAGGCGCTGTGGGTGTTTAAAGTTGTCATTAAATTTGCGATGAAACGATGAGGACTTTCAATTAGTCTCACGATGTTTGGAGCCCTTTCTTTCTCTCCAACTTTTGCTGTTGAATGTCTCTCTGAAGGATCATTATTCAGACGGAGACACGCTCAGCCAGCTCATATTAAAAAAAGGCACGCTGGGTGTTTGATGCAGAGGGAGGCACGTGTGTTGTTTTACTAAATGTTGGTGCTGTTTTTGTCACGTTTGTTCCCTAATACTCTGAAAAGCTGACAGGCAGCAAAGATGCATGCGGCCCACATCTGTGCAGAAATGAGGCATTTCCCGAATAATGAGCAGCTTAGTGCAACTAATGAGCACATACTGCTGCAGCGTCAATTATGTCATCAGAATTAGAAGTCAAAATAAGTGCTTGCATTTGTTATTTTATCCCACACTTATGCAGAAAGCTCCTCTAGACTATGCTTCCAATCCACGGCAAAGCCTTTTGTCCCTCACGCTCCCACACAAACGCTGCAGATGGAATCCAAAAGAAAGGTTTAAATCTCCATCAGGGCTGAAGTTTTCCTCCACAGTATGATAATGACACTCAAAGTCAAAGTCAAAGCCCTCTTCTCCCAGCAAAGGGGCTGAATCAGTTTTGGCGATGTGTCAGAGCAGCAAGGCTGTGCAGCAGTATTGATAAATCATTTGACTTACAGATGAAATGATCAGCCAAGTGTGAGCAGTGCTCGATACCATTTCACTCATATTGCTCGTTTTGTGCAATTAAACACCATGCAGCACCCGAGTATCCCACTTCCAGAAGCAGAAAAACCACAACAATGAAAAAGTTGTCATGCAGAAATGTTGTCAAGTATTTCTTCAAACTTATCTCAACAAAACTCAACAAAATCAGGATTATTTTATTCCCAAAAATTCACAGGTAGATTATGACTTTCATGGTTTAATCTCCTATTTGGTTCTGCAAAACCCTCTCACAACAACAAGACTGCAAAGAGCTCAAACCAGTAATGATCTGGCAGGAAAAACAAGTCATGTAAACAAAGAGTAAAGTATTGCAGGAGTCATTGTAGCCACAACATCACAGGAGCCCCATAGTCTTTGACTGCGCTCACTCGTTTGCTGCTGTAGAGCTGCTTAAGCAGGAGCAACAGGACAATTATGCTCAAATAACCTTCAATTTATTCCATAATCCATCAGTTTCTTAGAGCAGCCAGAGACAGTAATTGGTCCACGGAGCTCATTCCTGCAAAACCTAAGCTGAATTTGTTCTCTTTTTTTTTTAAAGAAGTAACCTGTGGACACACTTTCCATTCCACTTCTCAAAGCTTATAGCTTTGCAGATAATTAGAGGATCCGATGGTATTCACCACTGGCAAAAAAAGGCAAAAAAAAAAAAACTTTCCTTGCAGCTGGGAGACCATTATGCCGTCTTAGACAATAGATTTGAAGCAAGTCTCTGAGCTTCTTAAATTAATTACCATGTAGTCAAACAGCCAAGTTTTAATTAGATTTAAAAGTACACTCTGCTGAAAGTCAGGGTTCCTCCATCAAAATTTGGAAGATATATGTGCAGTTTTACTGTCCTGTTCCCGGTGCCACGCTGCAGTATGCATGAGAATGAAAAAATGCGTCAGGTACTTAAAAAATTAGAATAAAATAAGAGAAAATGAAGTAACCTTGAATACTCTAAATGGCTGCACCAATAAGAATGACTCTCTCAGGATGAGGCATGTTTTCTGATTTTGAGTCTGACTGAACGTCCCCATCAGGCACTTTTTACAACAGTTTAATAATATTCATTTCACCACAACCCACACATGCCATCAAACCGTCATAACACAGAACATCACATCACACTCCCTCACTCTACCTCCCGGTCATTCATTTTCGGTGGTTTTGTCTTTTTGTCGCGGTTGTTGTGCAGAGTGCTGGGCTATCATCTACGCTGACACTTCTTTCAAGTTTCTACTCTTCTCACATTTCATGTTGTATTTTCCTTGAAATTCTGAAAGACTTTCCCACACAATGAGTCGTGCACGCTGAAGTCATGCAGTGAAATATGGGCAGAGACACAAAACAGAGAACAAAGTCTGGCAGTAAACACCGGGAGCTGAGCTTGCACAAAAAAGTGACAAAAAGACTGCGAGGAAAAGGACATGATGTTGTATTTTCTATTTTTTATTCCTCTGAAGCACACTGCAGCCCACATTTTATTGGAGGCTTGTATTCCAGTGATTGTGCCGACATTATTTATATTCCAGCATTCATTTTCACTTAATTTCTTCAGTCTAAAAATTTAATCTGTCATCTCTGGGTTTGAGCTTTTATTGTTTGCTGTCAAACTGGTTCTTTTCAGGTTTTAAAAGCATTTCAATGTTGTTTTTATTCTTAATTTGTCAAAATATTTGATTTGAATTCCTTCGTTAACCGTAGGCAAACTCCACAATCTGGCAGTAAAATGTATTTTAAATGTTGGTCAATTTCAATCAGCACAAAAAAGTGTGTGACAGCACCTTGTCTACCTCTCACCAAAGAGAGAGCTCATACAAACAAGCAAAATAATAACAATACTTTACATGAAACTATATCAAAGTTTATAACTTCGAGAATACTCATAATAGTTTGTGGAAACGAGGTCTTCAGACCCCTTAATGAAGGACCAACGCCCTTAATGTGCCGAGTCACTCGAGCTTTAGTCCTACAGGCCTAGGAGGCACATGGAGATCATTACAGAAACAGGGGAAACTGTAAAGAGAGAGTTTACGTGGACTTAATTCATCCAGGTCTGAGCTTCGGTCTGGTTTTCATTGATTCAAAATAAAACACGATTACTGCTAATTCGTTAACAAAGACTCTGTTCAGTCTAATTACAGTCCATGAGGTCAAGAGTGAAGAACTTTATTAATCTCTGAAGGAAAATTCAATTAGCTGTTGTTTACATAATACGTCTCCAAAAGTTATCTACTATTTACTCAAGAGTTATAAAGTCTGATGTCTGTCGGTACAAAAGATCTTCTGATCGTCTTACACATTAAAGGGGTGGTGTGATGCTTCTCCACATTTATAACTAAAACTGCAAAGTTACAACGTTTGGTGTAGAGGGGGCGGGGCCACAACATCCAGCTCTGCCCTTGGCCAGTTAACGAAAGCCTCTGGAGAGGTAGCCAATCAGAAAGAGGGGGGAGGGGCTTAAAGAGACAGCAGCTAAAACAAAGTATTTCAGACTGAGGCTGAACTAATGATGTTTAAATACACCACCGCAAGTGAAAGGAGGCTTTTCTTTTTAATCTAACATCATGTAAAGATAATAAAGAGGTATCAGAGAGGAAGTAAGACAGGATGTAGAGATCCATTATTTGCTTAAGTTGTCTGTGATCCGTCTCACCATCATTAGCAGGGTCTGGATCCTCCCCTATAAACGCTCCCAGTGATGAGAGTTCGGGGTCTCTGTAGTGATCCAGAATCCAGATCATTTGGCTCAGAACGACCCGGCTCCTTTGAAGAGACTGTGTCCACCAAGTTGTTCTCTCATGCCAACCTCAGTGTCTGAGAGCTCCTCACAGGCGTTTACTGTTGCTAGGTCACAATAGTTCTTCTGCAGCATTTCTGCTCCTCTCAGCTCTGACCGCTGCGTCTGTTGAAAACCTAAAATAAATGATTAATAGTCACTGTTGGCATTAGTAGCAGCTATAAAATCTGAAATTAGAATCTGAAAAAAACAACAATGGTGGGGTAACTTTCTGTTTGTACCTCCACCATTGTTGTTGACAAAGATGTTTACAGCCTGGTTTTGTTTCTGTAACTCACCTGTGCATTACAGCAGACATATACCCACTAAATACTAAAATCACAGTACACGTTACGGCCAATCCACCTCATTCCCAGCTATGAGAGGAGAGAGTGACATCAAATATTGATCATGTCCTTAACTCTGACTGGTGTCAACTCGTGTCACTGCTACTATGCAGGAAAAGGGAGCATTTGGAGTAGACCCACTGCTCCAGAACTCTCATTGCCACCCTTGTGTTTATTTTATAAAACATCATTCGGCTGAGGGGACATTCGCACAGGAAGTTGTCAGCTGTCAGAAAGAGGAGTATGGGGTATACGCGCCACAGTATCTTCCTTTCTTGTCATAAACTCAGAGTCCTCCAGGTGGAAAAATTGTGTTGATCAAAACTGGTTCAAGGGTTTATCTGAAAAAAGGATCAATAGGCCTCTACAGTGAAACATTTTTGCTTTTTGACACTTCTGCTTGAAGTACTTATTCAGATGTGAGATCAGTTTTAGTTTAGAGTTTTAATGAAGTGGTCGGTGGGGGGGCTCTACTGTCCCATTCAGTCATGATTTTGGTCTTGTGCACACTGATAATGAATTTTCGTGAGTGTGGCAGGACCCTGATTCCACTTGACATCAGTCGCCATCATCATTGAGCAGGACAGTTTCCCCTTTATTTCCTGTTTAATTGTATTGATACGGTTTATAAGGTGTGCTCATGAGTGTTAAACTGGCACAGGTACTCTGTCATTAACATAAGTGGCCTCGGCTGGGCAGGGTTGAGGGGTGCGCACCATGTTGTGATAAGTAATATGATTTCACTCTCCACTTTGTAGCTTATCAGTCAGATCAGAGCGACAACGCTAACCTCAGTGGTGTAGTAACAATATCCCACTGTTAGCTAAATTAATGCTTTCAGGCATTGTCTTTAGCAACAGCAACAGAGGCTGTAAAGGATCTAAGATGCTTCTGTTTTCAGAACTACAAAAAGATGTCTTCACTGCGTTCATCATACATGGCAAACAGAGAGCAACATAAAATACAAGATAACTTATGCAGAGTATACATAAAAATAAAAATACATCCCTGTATGTTTGGATAGATTGATTTCAGGTATTTTTAAAGACTTTTTCCCAAGAGTTGTTGTTTTCATTTACAGCATTTCTAAGCAGCAGTCAGGGACATGTGGCCGTCAAAAATGGAGAGCTGCAGCTCAAATGACTAAACGATAATGAACACCCCACAGAACATTTCTGAAGGTAAAATGAATCAGAATCAGAAAGCAGAAATAACGGACTTCTCATCGGGACATGAAGGCATTGACTCATCGCTGACATAAAGTCCTGAACTCTTGAATGGATTTACGTCTGTCCTTCACTGCCTGTTTGCATGCATCACACACACACACACACACACACACACACACACACACACACACACACACACACACACACACACACTCAGCATTCATGATGGAGGTCTCTCAGCTTTAACAACAGGCTTTCCTCACTGTGGCCGGCCTGAACCTCTCAGTTTGTGCTGATCTTTTGACATCAGCACTCATATCGATCAATGCAACTCTCTGCCTCCCTGCACAGATTTCTAAACGCATAACTTGTGGCTGGAAGAGTGTGTGTGTGTGTGTGCATGTGTGTTTGGGTCTAAAGTGGGGCCAGCTTCAGTGGAGTTCTCGATAAGTCAGATACTGCTGGCCTGTGAAGACTTTCAGCTGTCACTTTTTGACATGCAGAGTCTGGGTCTTAAGCACTCTGCTGATATGTCTTATTTATTGTCTGCTGCCGTTCGCAGTCGTAAAATATGCAATACTTAATCCATACAAAATGGTTGTATTAGTCAAAGGTGTTAGTTATCAGATTATCAGATGGTGCTCCAGATTATCCTCAAGTGTGGGGTGTGTGAGGAGTTTTTTTTTCTTCCTCTAATCTGAGGGTGTAAGATCGACGCCGCCTCGCCCCTGCATGGGGGGATTCCCATAGACAGTGGATCATGCATTTTGTCCATTGTTGGCACAACTCAGTAGCCACTTTGAAAATGAGGCGGCTGAAAACAGCCATGCAGCCATGGCAACAATAGCCAAGACGAAGCATAAACTGAGATGTATATAGAATCCACCCATTAGGACATGACAACAACAGGTGTTTATCACACGAGCTGGGTAAAATGCCTCATTCGAAGTGACGGGGGAAGATGTTGAAATGAAATGGCTACTGTGATGGAAGTACAAGGAAAAAATTCTTCCAAAAATCACATTTGACTGCAAAGGACGACATGAGATTTCCAATGAGGAGAGTTTTTACAGCATGGAACAGGGTTTTTATTCCACTTGGCTCAGTTGTGTTTTCATTCACCGTAAATGTGTCTGCTCCCATCGAGTCTGCCTCTGTCTTTGGTGACTGCAGGTATATTGTTGGAAGAAGAAATTGGAAATTACAATGATGTTTGATATTTATACAGTTCCAGGTTGGAGAAGATGGGATTTGGCAAGGAGCAGAGAAACAGTCGTATTGACACCCCGTTCTCCAGGATTTTTTGAAAGAGTATTTGGTTATGACAAGTCTCAGTGGGGGTGACAGACTGGGTCCTGAATGAAGCCTAAACTCTTATAGTTTATGGACAGCCTAAATTATTTATTTTAAATTTAATAAAATAAATGATTTATCATGAAGATGCCCTGGTACCAGTTTCCATCTGAACCAGTTAAAAACCTCTAGCAGTGCCTTTAATGCCATCCAAGGCGAGACACACAATAGATGATTTAAGACCTGATTTAGGGTCAGTTAGCCTCCACAACCTGGGAGTTAAACCAGTTTAATATCTACAATTCCAGGCAGACCAGGGAACACCACCAACTGGATGGCGGTGAACAAAGCTGTGCTTAGAGTTAAGTGGAATTTATCCACCAGGATTTCCCTCCATATGCTTTTTCTCAGTTTCTGATTTATCACTGCTGAAGAGGGCCAAACCATTGTCCTCATCTAGTGGTACATAGAATTGTCTAGTTTGCATGTTTAGAGGATTGTATTGGGAGGATTGTACACTGAGCAATTTTAGTTGTGGGTGTGAACACTCCTTCCCGAAAATCAATGGCACAAAAACAAAAGAAATGATTATTGATTTCACTGTTGAGATGGTGCAACAATTTCAGCATCTGGGGACAGTTACTGACAGTATGCTGACTTTTGATGCCAAAACCGACGCCATGTGCACTTTTATGGGAAACTGAGACGTTTTAATGTCGAGAGCTGTTTTATGAGAATGTTCTACTTTTGTTTTATCCAGTCAAACATTTTCTTTTATCTTTTGGTTTGGATCTCTTTCTCTAGAAAACTTTGGGGAGTATTGTCAAAGTGTGCAGTAAAACTGCAAACACTCGTCTTCATGACCTTTCTTTTTTATAGAGAGCCACTAGGAAGGCACACGCTATCTTTGCCGATCGCACCCATCCACTCAACTTGTTGCCATCTGGGCACAGGCAAACTCTGCCAGCGTGTAGAGCCAAGCGCCTTTAAAAATTCATTTGTCCCTGCCACCACTAGACTCCTCAACGATATTATGTAGCATGAGTTTACTTGTGATGACTTTGTGACTCTGTTTTGTTTAGTTTGTGTTATATTTCTGCTGGCTGTAAAAAGAATTGCCCCTCGGGGTAGGACTGGACGACAATGGCAAAAATAATAATCACAATTATTTCAACTGATATTGAAATCACGATTAATAAACACGATATTCGTTAATTTGTTCTTTTTTTAAACATATACAGGACAAAAACACGCTGTAGGCTACTGCTCTAGACCGACTGATCAAACTCGGAACAGAAAAGCGTTTTATTATTGTTCCACACACATCACACGCTTGCTGCAGCTGCACGTAACAGGGGTGCATTCAAAGCAGCGTGCGGCGCATTTATTGTTTTTCTTTGATTATAATGCTTTTGTGATCATGAGAAGCCAAAATTAAAATCATGTTTAAAATGTGATTAATCGTCCAGATGTACCTTATTGTGAAAAATCAGTTGAATTTGTCCATACTTGTGTGGTTGTCCACAGTTTTAGAATCTCTTAAAATCCAAAAGTCATGGAGTTTGAAGCCAACCCTCCTTAAAGAGACTAACACCAAATTACTTCAAGGTGAAGCGTTAGATCTTTAAGAAGAAGAAAAGTCTGTAATTAAATATGTACAATCCAAATGAAGTACAGTGTTGTTTGAATACTGTTAAACTTGTTCCTGCAGCGCCTCTGTCTGCAGTGGAACAAACAGCAGAATACTCACGCTTCAGGAGCTGAAAAGGCTCAACATCACTGAAATATCAGGCAAAGCTTCGTCTGAGAGCGAGCTGTAATCAGCAGACGAAAATAACTTGAGTGACGGGCGTCTCAAATGTCTCTTTTCAGAGAAACTTCTATGATGCTCATTACAGCCACCTTTTCCACAGCAGGCAGAAATCACGGACCTACGAAACCTGGTGGTTAAAAAAGGTGACATTCCCGATGACCAATTAGCCTTTCTTTGAAAGGTCTCAATTTTCGCAGATTATATCGAACACTCTTGACATTTTAACTAAGTGGCCTCTACCATCAAACAGGTACTGAGTGCTTTGAAAGACGAGCTTGTGGTTGAGTAGAACAGTGTTTTAGGTTTGGCTTCATGATGTCAAACAATCTGTTTCATGTTTAATGAACTATGCTATATATATTCTTTTAAATTAAATAGATTTTAACAAGTTCCTGCCTCTTAAATGTGTTTACTGCTTTTCTCCTTCCAAAGATTGTAGTGGGTCTGTTTATTTTGGTTGTAACAGACAGAAAGAGAGAATTATGAGAAGAGCAGGAATAAAACAGCTGTGTGGAGCTGGGGATCTATTTTGCAAGGAATGTCGTCTTTATGCACGAAGCACCTGCTCTATCCACTAAAGCAGACCAGCACCCCTGATTTATTTTGTTTTATCTCTTTAATGGAGAAAAGAAAAATCCAGATTAGACACGAACAGTTTACTTGCTGTCAAATCAAAACAAATAAAAATTAAAAACAATAGAGCTCCTCTATTTTCATGATCAGATAACATTTGATGTAATAAGTTGAAAGTCAGTGAAAACAGGTCCTGTATTGCCTTCAATGTTCCACATACCCAAACTTAAGCTTAGGCCCTCTCATAGTGTAAGACAGGAAAGTTTTTTTGAACTCTTTCTTCTCTAAGTAAAAAAACTGTTTTGTTTTTTTTCAGAGGGGTTTGGTGACTTTCCCACATCTCAGCTGCAGCTGTCTTCAAGTCTGCCAGTTTCACTGCTGTTTTGTTAAAATATCACACACTCTTTTCATCAAACTAGGGCTGCTGAATGATTTCTTTTTAATCATAATTAATCATTTGGTTTCAATATTTAATCGCTGTTCTTTGCAGACTAATAATTGCATGTTTTGAATGAATTTATTTTGCATTTCAAAGTCTTTATTAATTATGTAAAGCAATTCTAAACAGGACTTTGATTTGAGAATCAAATCAATGGAATTATACGTCCTTTAAGATCTTGACTTTATTCAAATAAATCCCACATTGCTCCTCCATAGAGGTCTGAAACCGTGACTTAGAGGAAGGAGACGGCTGCAAAGTGTTTATTCTGTGAAATGCAGGGTTCCCTCTTTCTTTCTTTCTTTGCTTTTTGAAGTTTCATTTATGGCTGTCACATCTTCATGCAAAAGGATAGAGCAGCAAACTAGTAGAGAGCAGCAAGAGGTAATGTTGTGATGACAGAAGGCGGCTAGTTGAACCCAGGTTGCCCACTTTGAGTACTATATCTTTTGTACAAACTGCCAACCATCACCATGACAGAACATAACAAAAACACTTTATCGCTCCATGAACTGTGAGTGTTGTTGGAAACAGAAGTACGAGTGGTGTGTGAACATGTGAGGTCAGTCATTGTTGCACTAAAGGCAGAAATCCTTCACCTGGAATCCCAGAGATGAAGTCAAATGTAAAACTCAGGAGGTAGATTTGCAACTGATTTACACAATGTTCAAATGGGCTTCCTTAGCGATATGATATATTTCCCTCACTGTTGACTGGCCTGCAGTCAACTACCCTTTTAGCCAGCTCTGTAGCTATCATTTTTAATTTAGTCTTATTCACAGGTCTGTGCTGATTTGTACTCTAAAAAATAATGCTCCGCCAGTTTTGTGATGTGGTCGCCTGCCGACGTATTTCTCATTAGCTGCACCTGAATATTTTGTGTGTAGGTGGAAGTATCTGTGATGTTTTGACACCTTTTGACCTGTCAAGAAAACTGTCTGTGAGTTTTTAAAGCTGAATGTGCCGTTTAAAGGCATAGTGGTGCTTTCATTTTCTCTACAGAAGCAGGAAGACACTGCAGCAGCATCACTACCCTGAAGTGGACCAAATAGTGCACCGTTCAAAAAAAGGATTTACTCACTAGGAAAGGCTATGCTACCTAATTGTGTTTACAGTTGCTAGGTTACAAAAGTTCCTCCTTGAGTAGTGAGTGTCGGGTCTGTTGGATGACGCTTTGGATGCATCAGACTAGATTTCATCAGTGAGGGGATTGTTGTGCTGAACATGCTGAACTGGGCATTAAAGGAAACAGCCCCTTGATTGGATGTTTACAGTGTAGCAGCTGAAATCCAGGCTCATCAGTCCAGGTTTTTCCAGTCTCCTTTAGTCTAGTTTTGGTGAGCCTGTGTGAACTGTAGCCTCAGTTTGCTGGTCTTAACTGACAGGAGTGGCCCCCCCCGGTGTGGTCTTCTGCTGCTGTAGTCCGTCTGCTTTAAGATTGGACGTGTTGTGTGTTTAGAGATGGTCTTCTACAAACTTTGATTGTACTGAGTGGTTTTTTGACTCACTGTTGCCTTTCTGTCATCTCAGACTAGTCTACCCGTTCTCCTCTGACCTCTAACATTGACAAGACATTTTCGTCCACTGGATATTTCCTCTTTTTTCTGACCCTCCTCTGTAAACTCAGAGATGGTTGTCGGTGAAAATCTCAGTAGATCAGCAGATTCTGATAAGCCCATCTGGCATCAACATGCCACGGTCACAGTCACTTAAATCCTCTCTCTTCCCCCTTCTGATGCTCAGCAAGTCCTCTTGACCACATCAACATGCCTGAATACACCGAGTTGCTGCCATGTGATTGGCTGATTAGCTATTTGTGTAAACGAGTGATTGAACAGGTGTACCTAATAAAGCAGCTGGTGAGTGTGTATGTATATAAACGTAGCAGCACTTTGGCTCCTGGATAAATAAGAATTCTATGAACCTTACGTAGTTAATCTCATTGATCTGGAACAGAAATGATTACAGTTAGAAAGTCAATACACCTAATCGTGGCCTTGGGTCTTAAAGAGGTAATACTTTCTCTATTTCCCATGAAAGGGGAGGAAAAAGAAATGGAGCAATCTGTCAGTCATTTCACTTTTCACTGCCACGCTTGAGTAGGTCATGGACTCAGCGGACCTCAGAGACTAAATCCTTCACACCTTCAAACAGAATAATTAAGCCAACAAAACTGACTTCATTTCATTTGCATTTTAAGCGGATGGAAAGCACCCATTTAAGCTGTATTTTGCTATTACCAGGGTCACATTAACCAGACATGCCCTAATTTTCCATATATCTTCTTCTTGTGGGTCCATAGTGTGCATTAAGAACCGCTCCTTCTATCTCTGCCTGTGTGTGCAGTAAAATAAGCTTTTATCGTAATTCAACACTTTTATACGGCTTCATGCTTTTTCTTCCCTGTGCGTCAAAATTACAGCTGACTCCAATTTTCAAATTAATGGCCGTAAAATAATGGGTTTTAAGTGTGTAAAAGGTACTTCATTTCAATATTGTAAAGCCAATGTGTTCAATTAATCACCGTTGCATGATGGGCCTTGTGACTGGTAATATGTCACATACTTCTGTGCCCTGAAAGTATTTTTAATTTTATGTGCCTTAAATCTGAGTGAACACACTCAATAATGTAATATATCACACAAGCGCTAGTGCCCTGGAATTTTGCTTGGCTAAGCGCGATCACACATCACACACTTTAAAACCCTTGGCTCCCGTGTCAGAGAGGAAGACAGCGAGGAGAGGGAAGGGGAGGAGGGAGGTTGAGTGGGAGGCGTGTGAAGCTTTAAAGCTCCCGTGAGGAATTTTAGCAGCTTATAAAACAGACTGAAATTAAAACCAGTGCCTTTATATGACCTACGAAAGCAAATGGGACCATTAACAAAATCGTTACATCTGTATGTTGATTCTTTATGTACGAGGTGGTTACCAGCACGCTGATTCAGACCTGAATCAAACACTTTTCACCGCTGAAAGTTTTGCTGTTAAAAATAAAAAGGAAGTGATCCAAACAGATGCAAGATACTGCTTCATAATCTGAAATTAACAGCAATAGAGTCAGACAGAAATCATGCAACTACACTACACTCCTCTTCCCCTGAGGATAAACCATAGACTGTATACAGAATGGACGTCATCGGCATTCTCGCTGGTTCGCCCAGCAGAAGTTTCCATCAGCAGCCAACAAAATGACAACAAAAATATGAAAAAATCCAGCAAAAATTACAGATAATACAGAGAGACCGGACTTGCAGCAACCTCTCGGTTCAAGCGCATCATTTGATTGGTCGGGGATCAAATTTCTTTTCCATGTGCACGCCTCTTTTGACCAAAACTGGCTGAAGCATTCAGTGCATTCTCCAGAAGTTTAACAGCACAAATGAGCTGCTAGGAAACAGAAACAAAACCATATCAGACGAAGAGAGAGAAGGAAAAAAACAAACTTTTACTGTAGTCCAAACAAACAGCTCAGAGCTGTAGATGCGACGGTGTTTTACAGTTCCTTGGTCATCCATAGCTTCTTGTAATTGCATTTTGTCAATTGTTATGGGTCTACTGGGACGTGATTAGATAGTAACAAACTGAAAAGGGGGCAAAGCAGACCTGCTTCTGTCAGTGATTCTTCACTGGAGCTTGTAAACTAGGATGAGGACAGTAGGACAGTTAAGTCATCGAACCATAGGCTTGACTGAATCTTAAAAAGCTGGATCCAGCTCAGGGGTGTTAGTTTTTACACTGTTGTATCATCACAAAGTAATGCTTTTACAGCAAACTTCTAAAGTAGGCTACAAGTATTTCGCCACATTAGCATACATTTGTTATTGTGTCCGTCAGCTGCTCGTATGGTGTCTTTTTTCCTGTTTGTGGTTCCACACATTCGCAGAAAGTCTTTTTAGCTGTAACAGCTCCAGGTTTCACTAACAGTTTCAATGCTAAATTAACTTTTACTCACCTGTTTACATCAGAACCAAAGGAACACCTAGTGGAAACTTTCTGGATACAGAGCAGAAGGAAAGTGAAGCGAAAAAAACAACTTTACAGTTTCCAGGTGGGCGTATATTTGAAGAAGTTTCCCTCCTAATAGGGGGGCACAATCTGATGATGGGTCGTGGCCGTGTCTGGAAATGTGTCATTACGGGTAAACAGATCCCAGGATTAAAACTTTTCTGTGGTTTAGTGTGGACACCCAACACGGTGAGGTGGTTGGAACAAACAAATTAGCATCCCCTGTAGCAAGCGCCGGGGTGTTAAAAAATAAAAAGCAACAACTGCTTCTTTGGTCCTCCAGTGCTCCGACGACAACAGAGCAGCTGGTGTGTTTGCTCTACCCTGTGATACCTTGACTTTGCAACACCGGAGCAAAACCCTGAACAGCGTAGGAGGAAACAGAATCACTCACAGATAGTGACGGGGAGTGGTTTTGCATGCATGCCTACACAAATCACTCCTGTCTTTCTGTAATCACAGGAGTCGATTCAAATTGCCATGTAGAGGCTATATTTTCCCAGTTGGTGAGCTCCAGACACAGGAGACTTTCTCTGTTGCTTCCACATTCTCAGGTTGCTAGGCCAGAGTCAGACTATATACATTATGTAGGAGACTGCAAGAAGAAAAATGTTTTTAATTATATGGGACCTTTATGAAAAGATAAATTCTTAACTCTGAATTTCATCCTGTAGTCAAACTATAGTGTATTACCTTGAAAAGCTGCCACAGAGAAAACCTTTTTTATGTGCACAACCTGTGCTACAGTCAACCATTTAATAAGAAATAGCAGATATATTTTGTTTTCTAGCGCACTTTTCATTTCTTTGAAGTGCCTCAGTGTTCGGCCTTAACACTGTTGGCCAACCCACTTGGGCACTCTGGGTAATAGCCTTTGCATCAGTGCTCAGAGCACCGTGCATTTAAATGAAATATCAACTTGTCGCATGGCCAAGGAAGACGACAGCCGGCTCTGTTGGGCCTGCCAGAATCCACTCTGTCTTCAGGGGGGGAGCACTCTCACTTTATGGGATTTCATGAAGGCTGCTTTTGGAACAGGAGTGGAGGTGAGGTAATTGGGGAAAAGATGTATTTTAGGATATGATGTAATCATTTCACTTTTGCTGTTTTGTGCATTTGTAAACCCATTTTAGTTGACATTTAGTGCGAACATTAGAGGACAGTAGGTTCAGCCGACTACTCCCAGTCTGGGAGTAGTTGAGCCCAGAGGGACAGTGGAGCACAAAGCCGGTGCTTTAATTAATATTTATTGGCTGCAGTCGCATCTTTAGCAGACGTAAATTGTTTTTAAGCATTATTTGTTGCACACAATTAAAGAAAGAGCAAGGTGCTTCAGTTTTCTTGTTTGTGCAGTTACAACACAATTACCCACCTTGTATTTCTGTAGAGCACACATCCACTCTATGTAGCTTAAAATGAAGATTGAACACCGAGAAGTCAACTTCAAATCTGGTTTTTAAAGCTATGAATTTTGAGTTTTAAAAAAGCTGTTATCAGTTTGCTGTAAATCACCACAGACAGGTGCTTCAAATAAGCAAACAGAAATATTCAAGCTCATCTTTAGTGGTCTTGCTAGCTTTTGTTGGTGATGGGGTGAGACACTGATACACACCTTCAGTCATGTCACACCTTCAGTAGCTTGACTCCAACATGCCATTACGCTGCACTATGACAAAGGCGCTGAGCGTGTGGATCAGTACATTTCAATAAAAACAAGGATCAGGAGGAACACTGGTCTCATTGTCTGACCACTTTGAGAACATTTTAGAAAACAAGCATGCACAAAACATCAACCCCCGAAACACAGTCAGAGGGAGGTCACACTGCTGGAGCACGAAAGAAAATGGCAACCTTTATTTCCCCTTTAAAACACAGACTGATGGTTTTATTTGAAGTTTATATACAGGATAAAGTATTCTCTATAATCGATCTTTGTAAATATTGATAATGAAGTATTGTGTTTTTCCTTTGACAAAAAAATATAGGCGATGATAATTTGATGTCCTTTTCCCCCAATTCTTGTTTTAAAGAGCAGCAACATTTATGCATCATATCAAACTCAAACTAAACTAGACGCAGATCAAGAAGTGAGCGGAAAAACATTTCACAGCAACAGTGTCCAATTTTCTTCTCACTCTTTCTCATTGAGATATTTAATGTGTCCACATGTTCTGAGTGTCATCTAGGGAGCGCAACTGGGTCAAACTAAATCTATAAAGGAGCAGGCTTTCAGAAGAGCCCCCTCCCACTCCCATCCTCAAAAATAAGTGGAAAAAACAGGCTTAAAACATGAAAGTTTTTAAGAAAAGATAAAGCTCTGTGATAATTACGCTAGCATAGAAGGCACTTAACTGCTGCCTGACACGTTTTTTAAATCTACAAGATAAAACGTCTCTTGGAGAGATAATATCTTCAAACCCTCAGGCTCAGATTGGTCATGCTCTTCTGAGAAGAGAGGAGCAGGTAAACAGATGTGCGTAGCTGATCACACAAGATCAAATCTCTTCTTAGAGGGATAGAAAAGCCTGCCTGGAGCGGGGCTGCGCTGTTTGATTCACTTTTTAAGGTTTGAGCTTGTTATCCTTTTTTTAAACTATGTAATATATCATCTCCACTATCGTCTAATGTCTTTTTGAACTGCAGGATATCTTGTTGTTGACATTTAAATATGCATTAGTTAAAATTTTCTGCCCAAGCACTGATAATTTAAAAAGACATGTAACATTAGGTCTGATGTGAGGATCAGGGACAAAACACCACCAAGATTTTACACAAATTTGGACCCAGGAGCCAATCTCTGGTCTTGATGAGGCAGACAAAGCCAAAAGAGCCCACTGTCAGTGAAAAGATGAACATGTTTACAGCCTGGTTCAAAAACAGTTAAGGTCTGAAAAGTTCAAGGCTCTAATAGCAGCCACTGTGGGGTGGAGAGATTCTCAAGGTCACAAGAGCGGCAAACAGAGGCATTATTGTTGAGGCTGACATTATTGTTCAAAAAAGTCGATTTACAGCCTTAATAAGACCGGAAAAAAACATGTACTCACATACGTACATCTGAAATGGCTCGCACTTGAACTTCTCATATACCTGGATAATGAAGTTGAGGATGCATTTTATTTTTCCATGCATGCATAGGACTGAAAACGACTCAGTGTTCTGTGTTTGCTCTAGTGCTGATCCTGCGGCCTTTGAGTCGGAAGTTCAAAAGCATGAATGTGAAGTTCAATGCCGGCATCTCGCTGGTTGCTTGCCTGACAACTCCGAAAATATTCTTTCGAAATATTAAGCTAATATTTAACCATCAACAACTGTCAGCCTTGTACATCCCTTCACTCAAAATAAGTCCATTAACTACCTTTAATTAAAATGTCTCGGCTCCATAAAAAGTCCTGAGGATTCACTTTGTTCCCAAAAACAGCGGTCTGTGTGGGATCCTCAGTTAATTCATAATCAATGCATACAAGTACAGTCGGTTCATGATAACTTTTTACTGACGTGTCATTTGACAAGTTTTTTTAAGAGATGGACCAAATTTACATTGCACATATTTTTTTATTGTACATTTTAAACACCTGAGGCTTTGTGTACGAACAACTTTACAGAGTGACAGGAGGAGGGGATGGTACCAGAAGATATTTCCTGTAACTTATTGTCATTTGATTAAACACATTCTGTAATGTAGAGCAAAAAAAAAAAAGCTTTCAGGTGTCATAACAGTGGCAGCAGTTTTCATTATCAAGAAACAATCCTATTAACTTTATAAAAAGGAGCTCCACTCAGAAAGAAACCGGCTGACAGCAAGATACATATAGATGTAGTCCGTAACGCGATGGTAGGATTTAGTAATTACCACAGCTTACCCAAGGCCAACAGGATTTAATGCCAACTTTTAATTATGCGCAAACCCTCCTGTTGTGGTTTCAGAATAAAAGCATTATTGAGTGAAGACAAGAAAAGAACACATCTGGCTTTTATTATGAAATGACTTCCTGAAGTGCCTTCCTAGTGTAATTTATTATGCTCATGTGTCACATAATCGTTGCATATGGAGCTAATAAAGCCCTCAATTTTTTTATTTCTTCCACTCTTCTGCTCTTAAGCTCTTCATGCTAAATGGACATGAGATAAGGGATAGACGCCCTGCTCATGCTGGCAGTGTGACGGGTCTAATCCATTAAAATATATGTGAAAATGAAAGCTGAGCTGTTCTGCAGTCGGCATAGAGATCCACTTACTTTGTCTAATTGCACAGAAGTTTAGATATGTGTCTCTCTTAATCACAACAACCATCAAACAAATCAAACAGCAATATGCAATAACAGATTACCAAATAAACTATTAGAAAGACAGCAGTCTTATAGTAATTCAAACAAAACACAGATGAAGTGCTGAGGGTTGAGAGCAGAGAGGAACATACTGGAGGACAATGTTCCTGCAGAACGTGGTGCAGCTCTGCACAGTCGTGAGCAAAACGACTGCTGCGTAAACAAATGTCTTTATCAGCACTTAGAAGATGGCCCTCTGGTTACGCCACAGCTGTAGTTTTGTGTTTTTTGCTCTGGGCGTGTTCTGCTGTGCCTCCTTTGGTTAAGCACAGACTGTGTCAGTGTATCTGTGGGAAACTGGTCACTTTACCCAGAATGCGTTTAGTGTAAGCCTTCCTCATTCTCCCACTATCACTCTCTATTACTGGCTTTTCCCATTGCACTGCATTTTTGTCTTTTGTATGGCTCTGCACTCATCTTTATCTTACACCATACAACGCTATGCTTTCACACATCCACTTACTAACACCACTGATCTGCAGATGGAGCGTTTTCTACATTTAGAAAATGGATTCTGCTTCTGCTACCCTGTAAACAAACACGAGCGCTTGTGCTTTCCAGTGGAATAGTGTGGGTTTCCCTTCTTTTGTCCTGCTGGGAGAGCTGAATCATGACACTTAATAATGCTGTCGTCCTACAGACTTTACTTCACCTCATCAAGAGGAAGAAATGACCATGGCTGGCTGAACAGAAAGGTCAGGCCTCCATACAGTCAGACAAAGAGATACAGAAGTAAAAGTGCTTGGGTCAACTTGAAAACAAATTAGCCACAGCGTATCTTCTAGCAAAAGAAGCATGAGAGGATAAAAACTGCATATTTCATTCATGAGAACTGTTATTATATTCATACAACCTAAACACTTGCAGGCTCACATTTACTATAATCTCTATTGCTTGAAAACTTTCCAAACAGATCTTTCCACAGTTTCATGCATGGAAAGGTTGTGCAAGTTAGAGTTAACACAGCTCCCTATGCAGTAAAGCGGTAAGGCTGCAGTGACTGTTCCTGGCCTCTGTGTCTACAGTCAGATGCTGCCGTTTGATGTGATTCATGTGGAAACTGTGTATGTGCTTGAAGCTCTAAGATCTTTACACAGCTTCACCCCAAATATTTTCAACAGCTTGTATTCCAGCAACAAAGGTAAAGAGAGAAAAAGATGCATTCAAGTCCAACTCTGATTGTTTTTTTAATAATACAAAGTTTTCTTATGGGTCTTTTAATTGTGATTATGAAGATTTAAGCCAAAATCACGTCACCTGTGTCATTTTCAAGAGCTTGTCTTCCACAGAGCTCCAGTAGCTCATTAGCATTTCTGAGTCGTGGGCAGAGACAGTGCAGCTCTGCGCACTCCTCCCTACACTAGCCTGTAGCCTAACATTGTCTGTGTAGTGGAAGTGGCAGGTATCATAGGAGATATTCAGCTCTCGGACACTAATGTCTTTGGAGACATGATGAAATTTAATATCATAATTGGCCTTCTTACGAGTATTGCAATCCGCTAATGCACACACTTGTTCCACGATTGTCATCTCTACTTCTCTGAGTGTGGCTTGCGTAGCAGGGCTCTGGGGGCGGAGCTTGGAACTGTGACATAGGAAATCTCACTCTGCCTGAGCCAGCCATTTGGGCCTGCAAGAGATTCAAAGCGATTTGAATGCAGAAATACTCCGAAATGCAATTTTGCACTTAGTTTTCTCGTGATCCTGTAGCATCAGACAAAATACCATATGAACATAGAGACAACAAGAAAAACATGATTTTCAGGGGAGTGGGTCTTTAAGTGACACATAGCAGCATGGCATGAGCAGCTTTTCATACTCTGTAAGTGAAGAGAAAAACCAATGCAATGACCAAACAGCAAAGAACACTTAAAGTCTGGGTAATCAATATGTACTTAAATGAAAGTCTCCTTTCATTCTGCTCCACGGTGCCTCTCATGGAAGCACACTGTACACGTGTCCAGAGGGTTTTTATCACCCTCCCTTAAAGGGAAATCTATGCTGAAGTAATATTTACTAATTGCATTTGCTGACATGCTGGAGGCATCATTGGGCCAGTGGCTGTTGTAAACTAGAGTGTTCCACTATCGCAACATTTGTAGGAATCCTTTTTATATTTAGGTCTTAAACATACAGGATCCCAAATTTAGGTTTAGTGATAGGACATGGAGACGACTACCTCGGGGTTTCACAACAGATGCTTCTAAATGCTCCAACAGGATTATCATTCAGAGAACTGATGACCGTGCACAGTGCCATAGATGCTTGGCCAGTTCACCGAGTACCTAGTGATGGAAGTGGCGGTGCATTTATTGCTAGGAGGACTTGAGGGATTTATTTATAGCACATATTTCCACAGAGCCACTATCCCCACTCATTTCCAGATTCTCACTGTAATGAGTTTTTTTTTTCTACAGCTTTTTCCACCCATCCTGTTTGCTTCTCCCTTTTTTGTGTGCTGTCTGGTATACAAAACATTTTGTTCCCTCTTTATTTCTATATCTTACCTTCATTAAATCTTTATACGGAGAACACTGTTTTGTTTCAGTGTCAGTCTGGTTGTCAGTACACAGAAAATAGTACAGGTCAGAGCTGCTAGTATCCCTGCTTTTCTATGGGGTCACTTATGCTGTTGAGAATTAATAGTTTTTGGTCTGGGGTTAGAACCAAGTGTTCAGCGCAGTCAGGAAAAAAAAAAAGAAGATATAAACAGATTTATACAAATTTTGTTGTTTGGATTTTTGCCTCAATGCAAGTCATGTTGCATAGTTGCAATGGACTAACAACTAGTGTACTGCCTATATTTTTTATTCATGACTCTATTCATGAATAGACCTCAAAGCCAAGTTTAACATGGAAATACACATTTTGTGTCTTGATTCACCCCCAACTTACTGCAAGGTAGAAGTGATTTCACTTGCAACATGGCTGTGTGAGAAGTAAAAAAAAGAAACCTACAGTGTTAGGAGAAATAAACGGCCAAAACCTACCCACCTCCAGAGACAGAGAACCACCGATATGTGATTAAGGCAGCTGATGTGGTACAGGGAATGTTTGCTACCCACTTTGCCATGAAACTGTCACAGTGCTGTGTGACACTCAGCAAGCAGTGGTATAATGATGCATAATAATGTGTTGTGTACAACATTTCAGACTAGGCAGGAACAGCAGGTTAGCATATTAATGACAAGCCATTTTCTACACATAAAATACATGCGTCTTGAGGCTTTTCACGGATCATAGCTGCATATCGAGATCAGCAATGACCATAACAAAACAACTCTTTATTTACTCTTCATTTAGAGCTTCCTCAGGATGCAACTGCAATACAAACAGGGTAAAAATGTATAAATTTGCATCATGAATTCTTGCATTTTCCCATCTTTATTATGGTCCTCTCTCTTTGTCTGTTTTTTCTGCCTGTTTGTCCTTCCAAACTCTTCTGGGAAGCAGTTTGTGTTTGCAAAACTTGAGAATGCTGTCTCACACATTTTAAGTATTTCTGTTTTGGTATTCATGCCATTCTTGTGCAGTTTTTTTTTTATTGAAGTTTGTCAAAAGTCAAACAGTAACTACTTGTGAGAGAAAAGGGATGATTGGAGAGTATGTACTTGTTCTTCAATACTGGTGAGGACCAATTTAGGTGTTTGACCTGAGGGTTGAGAGTATTTTTACAAAGTAAAAACAATTTGTGTAGCTCCTACTTCTATGAAGAGGTTTTTTTTGGAAGACACTTGTTTTAATGGCTTAGGTGTGACTAAAGTTTATTTAAAGTTAAAGATAAGGGTTTGGGGTTAAGTGTGTTGCAGTGACACCTAAAGTAAAGTGCTGGGTAATGCATTGTGTGAGGTAAGTGGCAGAAATGTATGAGTAAACCCACAGTAAGTATAGCTCCGTCGGCAGGTGACATTAGGTTAACTTATCATAATGTGTCAAACATTCATTATCATAGGAAGGCATGCACGAATATTATAGCTTCAACATAAAGACTATGAGTCACTCTTTTCTCTCTCGGGTTTCTCATTACTGTCACCCATGCATAATGCGTTTGCTGTTAAGGCTGCTTAATGCATGAGGAGTTATTTAAAGCAAAGAAAATTATGTTTTATAGGTAGTTTGACAGACAGGTGTACTTTTTGATTACATACTGGGAAACTGCGTTAAGTTGTCAGAGCAAATGGATTTATTCAAAGAATCATTTTAGCTGTGTGCAGAGTTTGAAGGCCAAATGCATCACAGATGCGTGTCGAAGGCAGTCCTATCTCAAAGGCTCCTATCTAAATGCAGTCGAACCCGTCTTTTGTCAAGCCAAGCAAGTTGCATCATTCTTGGCACAACAAATCCCTTCTTAGCAAATGTAAGACATTTAGAGAAAACCTGCCCAAATGTATTGGGAACTAGTCTCTGATAAACTATAATCCTTGCTGAAGTGACTGCTCCTGAGCAGGGTGGCCATGGTCAGCAATGGATCCAGCCTGAGGTGAAGCCAGTGCTGATGTCTGCCTGGTGTCAGGCTCAGAGTATGAAGGCATGTCAGCGTGAACTTTTCTAACAACCACAGAAGCTTTAGACTGCCAGCAAACCCACATTACCAGGCTGTGGCAGTGACTGTGTAAGAGACGTAGCAACAACCATACAAAGCAGTGTGCAGGTACAATGTATGACGGTGTTAGACGCCAACACTGGGCACAGTATGGCTGCATGATTAATTGATTTTAAATCGTAATCAGATTATTTGATTGTGACGGTGTTAAAGAAAATATTAAAATTGTCAAATCCATTCTCCTCTCTATTATGTCTCGTGCCCCCAGGCTACCGTAGGCTCCGCCTTCCTGCAAGAGCACTCCCCAGTTCCCACACACAGCAGAGTAAACAAACATGGCGTTTACAAAAGAAGGCGATAATTTTGTGGCTAAATGGGGCAAGAGCAAATCAGTCATGGAATTGGTACAGCGTCGCAGTTTCAGACAAAGAGCATACTACCCCCCGCTGCAAAGTCTGTCTGGAGGTCAGTATCAACCCGTCCACACGTCCCCGTCCTGAAACAAATTCAGGAGTCAACACGGGTTTTTTGTTGTATCAGCGTTTCAATCACATGGACACAGCGCTTCAGGTGCCTGTAATAGGTACTTTTTAAAAACGGGTACGAGAGTAAATTAATCCGTAAACGACTACCATTTAATCTCCGTCAGGACGCCTATCTGCACCTCTCTTGAAATTGATTATGTTACACACAGCGTAACTGCGCGTGTCTGGTCAAACGACCTCTATGCTCCGTACTCTTCTTCTATCTTTTGTGCATTTCCTGGGTAGCGTTACAGCGCCACATACTGGCTTTGCATATGCACTACATGGTTTTCAGTGATTTCGTTTGGGGATAATGATAGAAAACCTTTTTATTTTTAAGGTGAAGTTGTTGTTGAATAAAAAAATTGAAATCTAAAATCGAGTTTTCAGAGAAAAAAATTAGAATTTTATTTTTGGCTAAAATCGTGCAGTTTAAGTGCACAGTGTTCACTTGCTCAAGTCTTATTTAATATAAATGTGGAGAAAAGTAATTCTTAAACAATCTTAGAACCAATGGCTCACTTCATACTACTGAGCAGTTTTGTTTTTTTTTCCTTTATCTTGTTTGTATTTTCCGATCTGGCAGGCTGAGTCTCAAACTTGAAGAAACAACACCTTCCTTTCTCTCTCTCTCTTTCTCTTATACACGTTATACCCTAATCAAACACACGCACTCAGAGGCCCACCCACACACACAACCCTGGCAATTTAACAAAGCGTAGGTCTCCCATCACTCCAATTACTAACGCCACACCTGTGACAATATTCATTATTAAGACCATTAGACTTTGAACCTCTAAAATCTAATGAGATCCCCGTTACAACTACAGCTTTATACATCTCCACAAAGCTGCTTGTCATCTTTGCCTTTGCTTAATTCCTTTGCCGAAACTTTGCAATTCCGGCCTGTCTTAACAATTAACATCCTCCCTCCTCGTATGTCTTTGTGGAGTAGCTTCTCATTGTTAATCGACAAATCAGATGCTGTTAACAGCATAGGCGCTGCCGCAAACTGAACATGAGCATTGGAAAGAGGCCTGCAGGGAAGTAAAAGTAGATTTGAAAGCAGCACAGCGATATGAAGATCCTTAGTCTGATCATTACTCAAAGTGAGAGCAGATGGGAGCCCTGGGTCAAGGATTTGTCCCTTGACATATAGCGCAGTCAGAGTGTATTAGAACAGTGACACATCTTTTACTGCCTCTGGTCTGTACAGCAGATGAAGAATTTAGACACACAAGATAATAAGGTTAAAAGGACAAAGGTGAACTTTCATTCAAAAGTGCTTACATCAGGTGACCGACTTGAACAGTCCAGAGGACACAAGTCTCTGGCTTTTGAGGGAGTATGGATTTATGCACCTTCAAAACAACTTATCAGGAGTTTGAGCTGCGAAAACATGAATTATACAAGTAAAGGTCGACCCAGATGTCACTGTGCTGCATTCAGGACAAATTCAAGTCAAATACCTTTGTAGATTATCAAGAACAGGCTGCAGTGGTTCAGTAGTCAGGTTCATGCATGTAAACCAGTTCAGGAAATACAGTGTAATACAATACAAACATATTACATAAGCACAGCAGTTGAGAAGCGTCTGTCAAAGCCAGAATACAAGCCAAGCCAATATTTATTTATATTTGAATCTTTAGTTTACACAGGTGATTACAGTGAGACATGGATCTGATTTTCAGGACCGATGCTGGATAAACACAACAGAACAATAACGGATTTAGTCTATTTTTGGAGACACCAGAGGGCAAAGAGTTGAACTGTGCACCTGTTTAAGGATTTCCAACGCATTTGGAAAGGTGAAGTTTCTGTGCTGATGTGTTGATCCATCTGTCACTGCCCCCCGCCCAGCTACCCGTACAGAAGTTGAGCCCAGCCTTCAGTAGCAACACTACACTTGCACATGCACACCATATAAATGTGAATACTCCGAATATGAATTATTCAAACACCTTACCCTGATAGCCACGTTCTGACTGAAAGTTCCTCGCAGGACCTGTAACAAAGGGAACATGTTCGGTTTGAACTGCGGTAGTTTGTTATTGGCCGGACATGCTGTAAAGTCAATCAATCAATCAAATCAAATTTTATTTACATAGCGCCAATTCACAACAGTTGTAAAGTGCGGGGAAATGTCTAACCTAATATTTGATGGCGCAACAATATCACATCATCTGCTTTCCACTTCCTTGCTGTGGTTTCTGCCACTGTTGAGGATATGAATGAGAGTGAGCGAGCGGTTTCAATCAACACAATATAAGAAAGACACAGCACAGAGATGAATACATGGTTTAATATGACGTCATGATGTAACTACTTCTATACGTGTTTTTCGAATTCAGCACGGAGCAGCTGGAGTCACTAGACCAAGGATTTCCTGTTTTAAGAACAGATTTAGAGCTTTCTTACCTCTATGATAAGCTCTGAAAAACTCTGACAAGTTGACTTCTGTCCAATTATGGCAGTTTGTTTATGTAGTTATGTGAAACATGATCGTGCACCAATAGGGAGTGTTTTCTCATGAGAGTCAACCAGATGTTTTGATGATGTTTGTGTATCTGACTCCCTGTCTTCCTCAATCTGCCCTGTGCTAATTGATGTGTTGTAGAAGCCTGTGCCTCTCTGCTGCAGAAGACTCTGTACTGCCAGAACTAAAACAGAGGGCAAACCAATGCAGTGGAGCCAGCTCAGACATACCAAATAGATCTGGTTGAATTTAGGGCTCAGATCAGTCCCCCACGCTAAAAGCAGTTGCTTTTGACTAAAATAACACCAAGGAATTTCTCCCTGCATTTAGAAACATCAGCAGTGTTCGTAGTGATACTTATATGATGAGTTTTACAATGAGCTGTTTGAGCTTCAGTGAAGTTTTAAACTTTTTGATGGTTTGGTAGAAGGATGTCAGAAGTCAAGGCGCTGAAACCTTGATACTTTATGGACTTTGATACCCCTGCATTGCTGTACACAATCGCTGAATAAAATAAAATATTGTTGAGTATTCCTCAGACAGGGGAGGTGTGTCTGAGAGGGCAGGTTTATTTGGAGGGGACTTACTTTTTGATATGAAAACCTCACTGTGAAAGGGCACCACCTTATTGAAAAAAAGAAAAAAAAAAGTTAAATTCCAATATATCCCTTCTCTGCAATATACACAATATTGCAGCACAAAAATACAGGAATTTATATGCTTAAAAACAATTAGAATTTTTAAATAAGTCAGTTTACTTGTAATACTTTTTTTGATCTTTCAGTCTATTCTCTGCTGCAGCTGTCACAGTTTCTATCAAAGGGCTGAACCCAGTGTTGGTCAGTTCGTTTCTTACCGTAAACAGAACCCGACGGTTAAATGATAAAAGAAAAAAATGCAAACATGTGCAGATATTAAATAATGCATTGGTTATAGGTCATTGGTCTTGGAACAGAACCAGAACCCTTACCAGTCCATTTCATTTACAATCCCTCAGTTAAAACAAAAGAACAGAGTACTTACACAAATTTAGCTCAAGTAGCTAAAGCTAAATCAAACATAAACACAACATAGTAGAGTTATTTGTTCACAGAACGCAAAAAGATCATTCATTTTCAAAAACTTACTGGAAAAGCAGGCAGAGCTGAGGGAAACTCGCTGTTGTTTTTCTGCGTGCAAAAATGGCGCGGTGCAGACGGATTCACGTCAGTGCCGATCGGTGCGCATGCGCAGCTGCTTCTTCTTCTTCTTCTGTTACATTTCCGGCAGAGTACACGCTACATTTTCAGCCGTCTTAAACAACCAGATGAACAGATGCGTCCATTTTTGTAGTCATCTCTCAGTGAGAGTCAACACTCTTGACCGCGCTAGCAACACAAAAGAACTACAACAGTGGTTTGTCTTCCTGTCACCACCGGAAGTGAAAAGCATTTCTCCCCTTCAAGCCGGAAGCGCGGATACACCATTTTATGACATTCTGTAGTTTTTAATCATTTCTGGAGTCGTGGCGAATCAAATCACTAGTGATGGCGAGATGAAGCCTCATGAAGCATCGAAGCTTTCCATCCAATTACTCGCCTCCTGGGCCGAAGCTTCATGGTCGTGCTTCATTTGCTCTGTTGCGCCATCAAGTGGACAATAAATGTAAAACAGACAGAGTGATAAACCAAAGACACCCCGAGGCTTTGGTGCGCGAAGCTTTGAATCCAATGAATGAATGGATGTGATGCCGTGTGTTTGTGATACAATACAGAAATGATAAAGTTATTAATATGGTGTTTGTCTTTAAGACACAGTTGCAGTGTCAAAAAGGGGAAGAGGACACAAATTATCGAGAGGGTTGTGATGTGAATGTGTTACTTAGTTTGTTGTTCGTACTTTTGTTACGGGGACAACAAATAAAACATAAACAATTCATTTATATTTATTTATTTTTATTTAAAAACAACTTTTCAACAAGTCTCGAGTCTATGGATTGTGAGTGGGGCAGGACTCCATTGCGTTTCGCTGCCTGTTAAATCATCCGCCAAACCCGTGAACCGTTTCTTGAACCAGTCACGTGGTATAGCCGGGTAGCGAGGCTTCGGACGTCATCATTTTTGGCTCCACCCCTACATGAAGCAAGCCTCGATACGCGCTTCGCGGAAACGCCCCCTTCATTACTCGACACACGCTTCGAAGCCTCGGCACTGAAGGACACATCACTACAAATCACCATACCTGTCTGCCTCTGATAGGCTAATAAAGCGCTCGGATTCATGCTGGGATCTTGCTGCTTCAAGACTAAAGTAAACAATGATGGAGGCAGAGAGCAGCTTTGGAGGAGAAACATGCAGCAGTGTGAACAACCTCTTCATATGGAGGTCTTTGGTTCACACTATCGGCGTTTTCTGTGAGTGTTGCATGACTTTGGGTGAGCACAGACATGAACACACTTCAGCCACGTATTTATTTATTCATTTTTCTAGTTTAAAGTGCTGGTCTTGTACTGGAACTATACAAGGGCAGCTGTATACCCTTTCAACACTGTGTTGAATGGACACTTTATTATGACTGCCACTTGTTTTACAGAAAGCAAATAGTATATATACATATACACACACACACACACACACATATATATATATATATATATATATATATATATATATATATATATATATATATATATATGTGTGTGTGTGTGTGTGTGTGTGTATATATATATATATATATATATATATATATATATATATATGTATATATATGTGTATTTATATATATATATATATATATATATATATATATATATATACAAAATATTACAAAAACTCACTGTCCTCTTCTGCAGGTGATTCCAACGACACAGCACTGAACGGTGTGTGGCAGGAGTAGAAACACTCCATGGTCATGGTTGTGTCAGCTGTACTCATGAGTTCTTACAATGGTCTCCATGAAAACATTCTGTTCATGTATCATGCAAATGCAAACTTAGCATGCACAGCAGTTGGTCTGTATGCTCAAGCGAGGGGCTGCATTAAATTAATATCTGGCAGACTTTTATCGTAGATCAATCCTGGTTAACAAAGAAGTGGTGATAGCATGATCCTGGGATTTGCACATCACACTTGCCATGGTCAAATAAAAATCCTTAAGCTTCCCTCTGCTGACATGTGATTCATGAGTTGAAGAAAACCAGAGTTGTTGGTTGCTGTCTCAAAAAGGCTTGAGTCGGTGTTTGATTGCTGTCTTTCAGGACAAAATATGGCAACAAGAATAAAAGTCATTTGGCCGAAAGGGGCCTCTTGTACAGCACTGTTTATTGGCTGCATTCATTAACTTAACCTGAACATGCAGACAGCATGTTTGTGTGTGTACATTTACATGGCAGTTAAAAAAGAAACTTAATTTATTTATAGCCCAGGCCTTAGATTGACTGTTGTTCTCCACCTGATTTTGGGCTTCCACTTTCAGCTCTTCTTCAGTGAAGAACACAATAATAGCAGAATTCACACGCGTGTGAGGTTGCAAATTCAAGAAGAAAAGTCTGCCTTGGCCTTATCCATTCATATGATTACTAATCTCTTTTATATTCTGTGCTACTAATATGCAGCCAGTTTTGTCACTTCTCAGCATGAGAAATAATATGTGTGGTGTGTGAGCCTGTGAATTAGAGATTTGAGAGCCCTCCTATTACAGCTGCTTTTATCAGTACCAATTCCTTCCCTACAGACAGTGCTCCTTTTCTTTTACTGGGTGTTTTCTTTTATTGCTGGGAGGACACTATTGCTCTGCAAGGTTGTGTGGTGTCTCTCTTAACATCACTCTTCACTTCAATATTTCATCTGTATTTCCTCTTTTATGAATAATCTGCTTTTGTAATTTGTGACAAAAGATCTTGACTTCTAACATTGTAAATCTGTTTGAAAAGTTGTGAATCCCTTCCAGCATAAACAAAAAGATAGCTTTATGGAGCATCTATGACCTATCTGCAATTAGCATCTTAAAACATGACTTGATCTTTAGTAAATGCACTAAATTTTTTCCATCTCTCTCTTTTTCTCTCGCAGGTCCATTGCTGTCTGATGGCCGACTGACGCACCTCCTCTTTCCTCTCCTCCTCCTCCTGCGGGCTCCCCTGTTGTTCAGCTTTGTTGAACGTACTTGTCCAAATAGCTGCAGATGTGAAGGGAAAACTGTCCATTGTGATTCAGCCGGCTTCCTAGATGTCCCTGAAAATGTCACAATAGGCTGCCAAGGCCTCTCTCTGCGTTACAATGAACTGCACTCACTGCTACCGTACCAGTTTGCTCACCTCGGCCAGCTTCTTTGGATATACTTGGATCACAATCAGATTTCAACCGTTGATAGTCGAGCTTTCCAGGGGGTTCGCAGGCTTAAAGAGCTAATACTAAGCTCCAACAGGATCAAATCCCTGCACAATTCAACATTTCATGGAATTCCCAATCTCCGCAGTCTGGACTTGTCCTACAATAAATTGGAAAACCTGCAGCCAGGCCAATTCCATGGCTTGAGAAAGCTGCAAAACCTACATCTGCGGTCAAATGGTCTCTCCAACATCCCAATTCGAGCGTTCCTGGAGTGTAGAAGTTTGGAGTTTCTAGATTTGGGCTACAACCGAATCAAAGCTCTCACCCGCACTACCTTTTTGGGGCTACAGAAGCTGATGGAATTGCATCTGGAGCACAACCAGTTCTCCAGAATCAACTTTTTTCTTTTCCCACGCTTGGCAAACCTAAGATCACTTTACTTGCAGTGGAACCGTATCAGGGTAGTCAACCAAGGCCTGCCATGGACTTGGTATACTCTGCAGAAGCTCGATCTGTCTGGGAACGAAATCCAGACTCTGGATCCAGCTGTGTTTCACTGCTTGCCAAACCTCCAAGTTCTCAATTTGGAATCCAACAAGTTGTCCAATGTGTCTCAGGAGGCGGTGTCAGCTTGGATCTCACTGACCTCCATCAGCCTGGCTGGGAATATGTGGGACTGTGGACCTGGCATATGCCCTCTGGTGGCTTGGCTGAGGCATTTCCGGGGTACTAAAGACACCACTATGATATGCAGCAGCCCAAAGTTCCTCCAGGGAGAAAAGATTATGGAAGCTACAAGAGACCATGGTATTTGTGAGGAAACTGATTACGTTCTGACTGAAACCCCATCCCCAATGTCAGAGCTCATTTCCGAGGCCACGGCTGAACCAACTTTTCCTCCCACTAGCAGCTCTCCACCTTTGCCACCAACCCTCATCTATGGTCCTCTCCCACCATACAGACCCCGACCGATCCCTCATCCTACCTTTCCAGGTCATTTGAGCAAAGATCCAAGAGACTCAGTTGCTCGCAGTAGACCAACTCACATACCACCCCCTGAGATAGAGCACATGACTCTGCACAAAGTGGTGGTGGGCAGTGTTGCCCTTTTCTTCAGCATGTCCCTACTCTTGACAATTATCTATGTGATGTGGCGGCGCTATCCAGGTGCGACTAGGTTGCTGCAGCAGCGATCCATGGTGGGACGGAAGCGTCGCAGAAAGAGTCCAGAGCCAGAGCAGAACCTGAGCACCCAGCTCCAAGAGTATTACATGAGCTACAACCCCGCTGCCACGCCAGAGGCATTGGAGGTGCTGGGCAATGGCACAGGTTCCTGCACTTGCACAATTTCTGGCTCCAGGGAGTGTGAGGTATGATCCATCGCATCAGCCTAAAAATAAAATCTCAAAATCAAAACACAAAGACCCAACAGAGAGGTAAATCTTTTATCAAATATGCCCCCCTGTAAAAAAAAAACACTGTTGAATCACAGTTGAGCTCCCCTTACACTTGATCCATAACATGCTTGACCTCAAATGTTAGATTGTCTCCAATTATTCAAGCTGTACTTCTTAAACCTGAGGGTGGAAATGGAAAATAACTTATCTGATAAAGGGGGAGAAATGCATAACCCCAGTTTACAAGGGTGGGACACTGTGTAACATGTTGAATCAGAACTTGAAGGTTTGCAGATCATCTAAACCCTTTATAATACTGAAAATGATTCAAAGACAACATGTTGAAACTGAAAAATGCTTTTGTTAAAATCGATGCCAGCAGCACAATACAAAAGACAATTGGACAGGCACATTAATATATGTGTTGTTCAGAGTAGTGCCAGGTGTTTAACTCACCAATGCCATTGGCACTTCAGTATCATGGATGTCGGCTTTTGGGCTGCGCACTGAACAAGCAGGTCGCTCTCCTCTGCAGAGCACAGGGTCCATGATATCCAAAAGAGTGTTAGATTTTGATATTTCATACTACAAGGATCCACTCCATCTAACTCAAGCTAGGGCTCAGAGATCATGTAGTCTCTTCTTTGCATAGTAGTCTTAGCTTGCTTTTGTCGCTAGGGCTAAGGAGTGCATCCACAGCTAAGGGTTTTCAGAAGTGATTTTACTACCCCTACAGAGTCACATCAGATTTCAGTGGCGCCTGAAGGCCTGAAGATCAGGGAAAGGCACCAAGTATTGATTTGGCCAGATTCCAGGAACAGTTCAATGAAATGATGTACTGGAGATAATGAAATCCTAAAAGTCTGTGCAAATTTTGAATCAGTACTGAAATTGTTGAGCAGATTGCCCACACCGTCTCTTACAGATAAGTGCATCTCTTGACATTTTTGCTTCTGGGGGACTCAGCCTCTCTAGATAGCCCCCCTTATACTCAGTAAAGTTACTTTTGGAATGAAGCTGATTATCTGGCTGATGTTTCTACTTTTTTGTTTGCATTCTGTAACTTTTTAAGTGTTTCTTTGTCCCTGTCCCAACTTTGTTGGCACATTTTTTTAGCATCAGATTGAAAATGAGCATGCATTTTGATAAAACAATCACATTTTGCAGTTAAAACACAATTGGATTAAATGTAGGGCTTTGATGATTTGCAAACCTTCTCATTCTGTTTTATCAACATTTTACACAGCATCACACCGTTTTTTGGAGGCGAGGTTGTACCTCATGGCTCCAGAGGAACACCATGTATTATAAATCAAAACTGAACAGTGTTCTCTGATTGAATTTTTAAATAGCTTTTTGGCTCCAGTATTTTTTTGCGTTATAAACACGATCTTAGTTTGTTGTAGTAGCTCTAGAGGAGGATGAATAATTGGACCTCATCTAACAATTTTGTAGACACCGCACTTCCAGCATGCCATTGCTCATGCATGTTTTAGGCTACTTGTTTGGCATGTGTTTTATTGTACTCTGTGTGCAAATGTGTGTGAGTGTGTGTCTGCTCAAGTGTTTATGGGGGGGCTAAGTGTGGGATCCAACCACCCAAACTGTCATACTTCTGATAAGTTTGAGAGTCGCAGCTTTATCAATTTGCACAAAATCAGAGCGGGGGGGGATCCAGTGCATTTGTATTGATCAGCATTGTTGGGCTTTTGCTTTCATATATGCCATGCAGGCAGTTGCTGGAGGGGAAACTAAAAAGTGTTAATGCATTCATTAGGAGGTTAAACATCTTTAATAGTTGATTAAGGTTTGTGATCTCCATGGTCTTGTGTATGGATTTGCCCTGCATCTGCCCTTCAATGGGCTGTTTCTCTGGAACAGAGCACACTCCCCTGTTGTGAGGGGAGATTTATGGTAATCTGCACAGAGGCAAGGCATCCCGGTAATCCCAAAGCTTATGATGTGGCTTAAATGTGGATCCCTCTGCTGTGATAAGGAGTATATTTATAAACCAGGGCAATTACAATCGCCAGCCTGGAAACTCTGAAATGCAGGTAGTTGCTGTTGAATCTCAAGGGACATGCTTTCAAAAGAACTTGCAGCAGATACTGAAGGGACATCTCTGTTTCACCAGTGGGTTCACAAATGAGGGTTCACATTTACACAAGAAAAATTTGGGTTGTGTCCATTAAGACAAGTACATTTGACCAAAATAAGAAAAATATCTAACACCGCTTAAAGCATTTTGAACTATAACTTCTGAAAGTTGAGCCCAATTTGGCTTCATAATAATAACAGACTGTTTATGCACGATGAGAATTAGGCAAATTAATTGGACTAATGTGCTTGTCCAAGCGTTCGAGCACTAGGCAAGATATCATTTATTGACAAAAGTATGTCTGCCCCCCCTCCATTGGTAAATACGCCCTCTTTCAGTCCGTAACTGTCAGACTTTCTAATCTAATCTAATCCAGTTTAATCTAATCATGTCACACACAAAAACAATCAACAAACAAGACTTTATATTGCTGTAATGTTTGGTCCATACTTGATAGCTTCGTCTTGCATACGTCCCTTCTTCCTCTGAGGTTTTGTTCGCTACCCTGGTTTCCAGCTATTATGCTGGGCTGAAGCCTGGAATACAAACTGTGCAGCAGAATGCCCAGGCTGGCCCAGGTGGAAGCATGCCAAAGAAAAATTGACCCTCAAGCACTTTATTCACTGTAGGTATGCTAACCTTACTGCAAGACATGTAACCTAATTTAACTATTTTTCAAACCCAGTCAAAGTAATTGAATTTTCAACATCATGTACATGAACAGAGAGGGTCAAAATGCAATACTCAAATGTTGCTTTCAAGTGTGCAGGAATATGTTCAATGATATTTGAACCACACAAATATTTGACATAAAGAGTCAAGTTTTATTTGATGCACTGAGCTGATAGACACCTCTATAATTTCTTCTTACTATGCAAAACAAATTAGTGTTTATCATGTATTGATTGGAATTATTTAAAATGAAGCCTTAGAGTAAAAAAAGAGAGTAACTTACTTCACAGCTCTTAATATTTGACGCTGTTGGAATTGAGATGTTTCCTGTGGATTATGGAAACATGTCGTTTAAGAGCAGTTTAGAAAGGCAGTCAGACTGAATAGTATTTGGAGACTAAATTGATTTCTACAGCTTCACTGAATAAATACATGACTTCTCCTAACATACCGACAGATTTTCATGCATGAAATTAAAGTTTCAGTTTACTTTCTTTATGTATAATCTGTTAAAGCAGTACATGACTGGGCGCTCATTTGGAATAGATTGAACAAAGGCTACGGTCCAGAGGCAGTAAAGGGGTGAAACCTCTGTTATAACTAGAGCCAATTAGGGTTCTATTCAACCCAAGTCTTTATTCAAATTCAGCTATTCTTCTGCAGTGAGTCCCCCTTCACTTCACATAGTACATATGCTCTCTTGACAAGGAACGGAAGTCTTTAACAAAATCAGCTCCTGCTAAATTTAGCGTGTGAGGTTGAACACTACTTGCATTGTCATCCAAAAACTACTAAAAAAACCATAAAATAATAATGCTTTGGTTTTGTAAGCACAGAACAGTCTTTCTGAGCCTAGTCAGGGACATCTGCCCAGTTCTGAGCTAATCTCCAGAGATCAAAAATGCAGTTGCAGAATTTTCTTAGAAAACCCAGATGGAGAGTTTGTTCAGTGTGTGAAACTCCAACAAAGTCTCACTAGAGATGGAGAACTCTGCTGGGTAATTGATCCTGTGCAGCGCTGTTATCCTCATTATTATTATTCTATGAGATTTTATGACCCAAGTCCATTTGGGACGCTGAAATGATCCTCTCCTTTGGATTCATTCAATCATGGTTTACAAAGACAGCATCTCTGAGCACACAGCTGACCAGTTTTACTGAGGTCGAGTCTGTGGAATATTAGCGAGCTGCACTTTTGAACTTTAAGAGCATCCTTCCAGGTAATTTTCCAGGAAAAATAAAGACATTAGGAAGATTCAAAAACTGTCATTTTTGTATAATCAATTTCAGACTGCTATGCTATGAATATAGCACGCCATACACAAAATGACATTATGGCGTGCTGGTTTATTTTGAGACCCATGAGACACCGACAGACCCAGGCTCAGGCGGTGGTATGTGCAGTCCTTTGCCTGCTGTGTTAGTCATACATCTGGCACCAGTGCTCAGCTTGACTGCAATTTTCTCCCCAACACAAGCAATGTTCTGATTCTCTCTTCCGACACGGCAACATTTCTGTAGCAATCATCGTCAGAGTGTTTTCTCCCTCTGCATAACCTTAATCCAAATCTCATCATCTAAAAAACAATCTGTCCTTTTCAATAGCATTGAAGGGTGTCAACAGCGGTTTGTGGATTATTAGCAGGGCGGGGGTTTCTACACTTTCCTTATTTCGGCCCTTTAATAATTGACTGGCAGGCGTAAGCCTTGTTTAGCGTGATGAAAGGGAAATCTTGTTGGCCGACATAGCTGGCTGTCTTTTATTGCAGGCCTGTACAGTGCCAGCAGTCCCTGTGGAAGGCAATGTGGAAGAACAAAAGCGAACACAACCCATTTCCCCGTCGGTGGCTCAGATACAGCAAGGTATTGTCAAGGCTGAATCTGAATTGAGTCGAAGCCCACCAGGAAAGATTTGATGGGGGGTTTTTCACACTTTTGTCCCGCAGGCTTTGGGGCTAAGACATCACAACACTGAAGACTGCAGAATCCTCGACAGGTGTTATCATTTATTCAATCTTACCAGACCTCTGTTCGAGTTAACTCTGGATGCAGCTTTCAGTAGCTCCATGATACTAATGTGCACTGCGCACCTGAAAATATCCACAGTGTCTGGAAGAGGTTCATGTGTGAAAACTAACGTCTGAATCCATTCACTCCGACTTTATCCAGACTTTTTTCCTGCCAGGCCCCTAGTAAAAGTCAGCATGAGGCTGGAGTGAGACAGTGTGTGAACACAGCCGGTTGTAGTCTGGAACATTCACCGTGGGTGAGTGGGCGGGATGGTGTTCACATTAAGTCCTCTGCTTTGTAGTTTTCGCTACTCACTCATTTGTCTGTATTATGTTTTCTACGACTGTGTTTGCACCACGGGAACCTCATTAAACATGTTGTATTGATATAAACTCAGAAAATGTCACCCCCTCCTCCTGCATGCTTACCCGTGCTCTGACTGATCTGATATTGGGTGGAAATGTCAGGGGTTCATGTGTAAAAGGGGCTTTAGTGCACTGAATACGAATGTAAACAGATGGGAAATACAGTTCATGTCTTCTCTAGAGGGTAATTGGGAATGGCTGATGCTGCATCAGCTGCTACACCAAGAAGAAAAAAAAGCACGAAAGTGGGGACAAAGTAGTCCCCGGTTGACTATCAGTGCTTGCAAACAGAGGACATTACAATCTGCTAATTAAAAGGGAGCATGTAGTGTGTTATTTGATGTCTGGAAGGGCTGAAAAAAAAAAGTAATTTTATCATCAAAACTGAGATTTTAAAGAGTGCAACACTCAAAGTGCAAGAGTATCTAGTATGATTAACAAGCTTCCACATGTGGGAGTGAGGGAATAAGGGCAATATGTGAGGAAACTGAGATTCTTGTCGTCTGTGATTTAAAATCAATTTGGAGATTTCAAAAGAGGCTGAGCTAATCTTCAAAGAGGGACAGTGTTTGAGCACATTTTGGATTTGAGAGCTTGATTAGAAGCATTCCCAGATGAAAGTGCATCATCACCCGCAGACAAACATTAGAGAGGGGTTCGCTGAACTCTGCCTCTGACTGACAGGCTGACAAAGGAACGCAAAAAGCACAAATGATGTGACTGTAGCCAGCTCTGAATGGGCAGAAGGAATAAACTAGATCTGCTGAGTCACGTCTGTTTCAATTTGACAGAAATGCAACCGTACAAAGTTGTCAGTAATGATGGATTTCCCTTTTAGAGGCCTTGAAGCACTAAGAAAATCCTCCAACAGGGATTTGACTTTTTTTTTTGCTTCTCAAAAGTCAGTAGATAAGCTTCACCTTAGATTTTTCCAAGGCGATGTGGTGAAAGCCAGTGAGTTGATATTACCCTTAAGTCTTATACCTTCAGGCTGACAGATCAACTCCAACATTCTTCCAATTGCAAGAACTCTCAGACCTCGTGAATGATACAAGAGGTCTGACCCCTGAGTCTGATCTTGGCACGCCTGAAATAGCTCTGGGAATAGGCAGAACATGAGATAAATAGATCAATCAATCAATCAATCAATCAAACAGTCTTTATACATACAGACCAAACTCACAACAAATGTTATCTCAAGACTCATATCACATCAGACCTAACTCATACGCTGACTCTATAGCGTAACTTATTTGTAGCTGTCTTTATGTCGTTATATTAATGTGGATTGAATAACGAATTCATACTTGGCAGGTTTTTTTTTCTCCTCATATCAAACCTGATTAAACAGATCAGATGGAGACAAATATTTTCCATTAACAATAATAGATCAAAACTCAGGTTCAATCATTTTGTTTCCCATTTGTTGGTATTATTAAACTGTTTTGTCAAATGCAAAAATCAGCAGCAACAGTAACAAGTGGAAAAAAAAAATCTGTCCAGTCCTGTTTTCCTGCAAGGTGAAGTGACCAGCCCACTGCTGAGCAGTTGAGATGTTTTAGATCAGACTGGCATGTTTGGATACAGATTTTATGTTAAGCACATATAGTGAAGTGCAAGCTGAAGGTTAACAGGTATCATAAAGAGTTGTGTGAATCTCAAATGTGCCGACAATTTCATGACTGAAGTATCTCTGAATACTTGTGTATAAAACTCTAAGCTGTATTTAGGTATAAGTGCACACATTGACTTTGACTGCTGGTAGAGTTTTTAAAAGCTTTGTCCCCTCCTTGAAATGACTGTTTCAGACCTCTCAGGGGAGGATGTGATGGTGACGATCTTATATTGATATACTGTTATTAACCGGTGTATCAAATTCATACGGGGTCTCTGTGTGTAAAGTGCCTATCATTATCAACCAATCCTCTTTACGTACAGTCACCAGTTTGGGAGTAAACGCCTTGTCTAAACTAACTTGAAACAGCAGGTCAAACCTCCATTTTCAGTAAAAAAACAACATCTGTTTTTTACCCCTGAACCACAGCAGTTAGGGCTTTGACAATATCAGAATTTTACTTTACAATTATCTTGGCTAGAAAATATCCAATAATTATATTACAACGTTAGAGAAAAAGTTACAAAACCAAAATTCATACAATTAATCCATAAACAGGGTACAAATGTAATTAGCTATTCACAATGATGTTCAAATTCATGAATTGTCTATATCTCTAGCCCTGGGACTAAGAAGATATCGACTTAAAAACATTGCTTGTCATGCTTTTATTTTGACACTTGTCTCTGTCTTACATTTAGGTTGCTTTATTTCCTGCATGGTCAAACGATGCTTTTATTTTGGCAGCTCATAGTTTAAGGAAAGGGTGGTCAGAAGTATAAACGGTGTTTAGTAACCTGGAAGCTGTTGTTGAATGTCAGTTTTTAAAAATGCTTAGTCATGACATTATCATTTTTTTATTTGTAGGATGATATCAATACTGAGAGTTTTTTTTTTAAAGATGATTATTGTTAAAGCCCTCAATCAAAATGTCACACCTTTGCAAAAACAACATGTTCTGTTGTTGCTCCCTCATGTTTTAGCAGAATAAAACTCCTTTCTGCTCAGTAAAATCAGTATGTTAGCTAGAATTAATCATCTCCATGAAGGTTTAGTCCTACAATTACTCCTGCTTACAAATATTCATATTCAACAAACACTTTTCTACTCCTACTACACTTTCTCTTTTTCTCTCCATCATGATAGGTTACTCATCTATCATTTTTTTATTGTATTTTAATAAAAATGAGTCTAAAACAATCAAAAGGACAACAAGTACATGCACTGCCTACTTATATCCCATATCAAACCAGTTTGTTGTAATATTAGTTCAGGAAAAATTACAGCTCACCCATTTCCAGTTGAAGCTTTGATGAAAAAATATGTTATGAGATAGAAATGGTAATCAGGATCGACTTTCATTTGTCTGAGTTAACCATGGTGCTTGCACCGAGGGCATGCCATCTGGTTACTCGCTCATTTGGTCTCCATGTTGCTCTGTTGGTCTGAACGAATGTGCAAGTCTTCCAGTCATTTCCTGAATCTGACACAAACGTCCCCAAACAGAAGCAGGGAGAGCTGAACACAGAGTGATCAGGAACTTTACCTTATATTGAGTATTGATCAGTAGGAAACTCAGTATCATAGGTCACAACAGAGATCTAAAAAAACAGTTTAATTATTGTAAATAATCAAAGTGATGATCCTGTAAGGCAGCAGCTCTGTACAAGCAGTACATTTTATATTGTTATTGGTCCATCTTTCTTTTATAGGCAAACAAAAAGAATCAAATTATCCTAAAACACGTGTTTACCTGAAGTGCTGTGAAGAAAACCAGTGAATATTGGCATTAAACTCTTGAAGTTTTCAGTTCTTCAATGACAACAACAAAAAAGGACGCTCTCTAAGTGCTTCACGTGGGCCAAGCTCTATATTTGGATGGCACTTTTTAACGATTTTTCTGAATACAAGACTGCAGTCCTGCGCTGACAAGAAAGAGTGGCCTTGAAAACTTATTAGAGAAGTAAAAAAGTACAAATGAGATGTGTACATTTCACTGTTATTTATTTTAAAGTGTTTGTGGCTCCAATGCTGAACCAAAAAGCCCCAAATACAGTTTATAAAATGACAATAGAGTCTCTCAGTTTATTCATACTCACCTTGTGTGAAACCTTGGGCTGTAGATCACAGCACAGACACTTGAGAATCGCACATTATTTGCAGAAAACAAGTTATTAAAAAAAAGACAAAGTGAAATTGAATAATTTCTCAGGGTTCACCTGACTATTTGTCACACTGGTTGAAGAACACTAACCTCCCCGAATCTCATTAGTGTTTGATCGAAGGTTCACAGAGGTTTAGTACCCATCATTTGTACAGGGATCTATAAATACCTGTAGATACACATTGCTAGAGATTCACAGTCAATATAATAGACAGATGTTATGAATCTAAAGCATCTCGTCCTTGAAGGGTGAGTATATGGATAGAATTACTGTCATGGAATTTCAAAATCACAAAAGCGGCTGAAGAAACCAGTATTAACTAACTGTGGATGTCGTTCTCTTGTTGCAGAACAATCTGATTTGCCAGTTCACGTCTCTCTCTCTCTCTCTCGCTCTCTCTTTCTTTTGGAAACTCAGCCGGAATAACTCTGCTCATGTTTTGAAAAGAGAGAGAGAGAGAGAGAGAGAGAGAGATGTCACACATCCAGCCCCAGTGCTCACTTTGCATGTCCCCTGGCTGATTTCCCCCCATCCAGTCCCGTTCCATTTGAGAGGCGTTGGTCCAAAAAACATTTAGAAGAACACTTTAATTTTCCGCTCGCCTCCTCTTTACCTCATCAGACTTACAGAACCGTTTAAAGCTTAAGTGCAGGCACGCAGAGTGCGATCTCATTGAATATACAGTAGGTCTCATACTCCTGTTAAGGCTTTCGCTCCTTAAATCCTCACCCCCCACACATTCCCCCTCTCAGGCAAAGAGAGAGCAGCTTTTAATGTGTGCATCATGAGATCCTCCCTTGGCCTTTAATTATTCAATTCATCATTTCTGTGATCAAGAAAGATAGAGTTTTAGAAGACTGAATTATTAAGAGGTTTTCCCTTTTTTAAACAGTTTATCGAAAGCTCTCTGTTCTGTTTCAACGCAACGCCTAAACTCCCAGTGTGTCACAGTTAATCACGAGCAGTCACGCTACTGCTGCTGCTTCTGCTTCTGCAGCCAGCCAATGAATGAACAGCTATTAATGGAAACAGGGTGTCTAATGAGGCCAAGACATAGGTATCTTGCACTTGGCTTAAGTGTTTTTTCCAGTTGAGAAAACACAGAGAAACAACTTAGTTACCATCATTCTAAAAATGCCGACGTGGGAACAGCTGCCCGGACGACAATGTCGGCAAACCCTTCAGTGAGAAATGTGTCCACTTATCCAGCCCAACAACCTCTTAACTATCCCACAGGGGCAATTTCATGCCCTCTTCCCTCGATTGCCGGGTCATCCTCAAAATGACTCCTTCCCGAGCCGGATGATGATGCACATCCCGCAATGGTGTAAACGTTGCTCTTCACCCCAGGCACTTCTCCCCATCACACATGCAGAGATACAGTCATACCCGACTCAAACCCCGAAGAGCGGTGTATTATTAGCAGCATCTAAAGCTGTCCTCGGCCCTGCAGCTAAGACAAACAGGGATCTCTTGTTTTACTGGATTTCACAACAAAAACACAGAGGACGGATTCTACAGTATATTTTGGAAAGCGGGAGTGTATAGAAGTGTGTTTGTGTCTTCGACTGAAAGGGGAAAAGAAGCTCTGTGGCACCTTATATAAAAGATCCACCCCCTCCATTGCCCTAAATTGAATTTTATAATCTTCTATCTGCCCCCCCTCCCCATTTCTCTTGCCACAGGCATTGGCAGTTGCTGTATACTTCATCCGCAGATAACAGTAGCATCAACCCACCCACCTTCACTTGTTCAGTCAAAAAGCACACAAACATCTTATTCTGCCACAGTCCTAATAACTGCAATGCCGGCAGGAATGCACAATGCTCTAAAATGTGGAGATACTGAAGAGTAACTACCCGTACCTTGACATTACAACACCAAACTGTGAAAGTGTAATTAAAATGAACAACACACCTGCCTACACAAAGTCACTGCAGCTTCACACATAGTCGGGAGAAAATGTATTATAGCAGCGACTAAATAATTACATTGGATGTCATTTTAATAGAGAGAAAAGTCATAGTCTAAAGTTCACTAGTTTTATTGTTCTGAAGGATGTTCCTGTCTCCAGCTGCTGAAATGTGGAAGAAAACGGTCACTGAACAAGAACAGGTTACAAAGCACACAGCCCTGGGTGGACAAAAATGTGGAGTGACATGCTGCAAAGGTTCTTGTCCTGACGTGAACAGAGGACACTGCTGTTACGTGATGAAATCCCTTTTTCCAAGAATTTAATGCTCGGACCAAACCGAGGTTTTCCGACATCTCACCACCAGTTTTCTATATCATTTTCATAGCAGTGTCACCAGGACAACCGTTCAAATTAAAGATATTTAGAGTCACAACATGTATGTATGTTTGTATGATGAATCAATCAAGGGACTTTCTTAAAATGCCCATTTCTATTCTCGACCCTATTTCCTTCTCTCTATCCAGGATGTCTTTTTAGAAATGTAAATCTTAGCTGCCTCGTGAACACAAACAGCCTTATTTTTCATCAATATGTCTCTGTTGGTCTCATAGAACAATTTTTGGGTGAGCTAATTTAAGAACGCAGCAGGAAATTTTCTGGTGAATGATCTGTGATCGGGCAGATGGGGGTGAGCTCATTTATTGAACCAATGGCTAGGGTTCTGTACTGCTTTGCTGCTTTGTGAAAAATATCACTACTGTGGTGGTTTATAGCAGGCGCCCTGGTCTCTACAATAACAGGGTTAAATGTACTCAAGCAAAAGGTAAGGCCTGTTTTTCTGCTAAGATTTTAGGAGAAGTGTATTGCCAAGATCTTCTGCCAAATCGCTCTCTTGGTGGTGATAGGTGCCCTGCAGAGCTGTTCAGTGGCACGTCTCAGCAGGACGCTTGATTCAATGGACACTTGTACAACACCAAAAAGAGAGACATGTAACAGGATGGATAAAACATAAACAGATGGTGAAACAGCTGTATAATTGCCTCTTCTCTGTGCTACATCCTGTTTTTAGTAATTCATTGATACTTTAAATGTGTTTGCAGTGGTCGAAGCACCCCACGCATTAATGCTGCTATCCTTTGTCTATATATCTGTGGTATCAAGGTAAATTTTGGAGGCAGGGCTCTTGAATCTTTTCGGATTTAATGTCTATTTTACTCATAGGCACATATTACATAGCCTTACACTCCCTTGTTCCAACAACTCCAGCAGTTTAGATCATTTATGTAAGTGTCTCTGAGACATTAAAAACTGGATGTTCCATCATTTTCTTTAAGCTGATCCAGACAGGAGTGATAATTTTTTGACATATCTACCATCCCGGTCTTCTCCATAACAGGCTCGGTTCACTGAGCAATAACCCCCCAAAACTGATCAATCCTTCTCTTTTCATCTTTAGCAAATCATAATAAATAAATTACATCAGTCCTTTCTGAAGACATTCATGCTTTTATTGTTTTCTGGTTTACGTTATTATGAAACTCTTTTAACAGCGACCAATCTGAGCAGCTGCTTCAAGAGGCTGCTGCTCAGATTTTAACAGGCACCAATAAATACCAGCACATCACTCCTGGCCTCGCCGGCTTACATTGGCTGCCCATCTTTTGTAGTATTGATTTTAAGGTTTCATTGATTGATGCTATAGTTTTAAATGGAACTCCTCACAATATTTAAGAGAGCTTTCGACCTCTGTGTGCCTCGGTGTTCTCATAGATTAGGGATGCAGCTTTGGTGGATATTCTGTATCCTGCAAGCAAAGGTGACCTGGTCTTTTGCAGTTAAAGCCCCGAGACTGTGTAACTCTTCCCCAGTTCACATCTTAAGCCTCTCCAAATCTTCTCTCAAAACTTTCTGGGATGGGAAATCTGTTCTGAATTCTTAAATTATCTGCAACTTTTTCCCTTTTTTGTTTCTGCCTTTTGATCTCCAGCTTTATTTATCCGTTTTTCCTGTACAGTTTTTATCTGCTTTGCTTTTATCTTTGAGACGCTTTGTAGCCTGTTAAGAAAAGTGATAGGAAGTTTGTAATTACTTTTATATGAGTCATTATTACTCCACAATCAGCTCCATCTGGTGCCCACTGATTATGGATGAAGTGTTTCACATGTAATTGAGCGTTACCTAGAGAACAAATCCATCAATCTGGCTGTGAGTCAGAAAACAATCTGAAGATGTCACCTAAGGCTCTCGAGTGCACTGATTCACTGTACTCTCTATTTTCTGGCATTATAGACGGATCAATACAGAAAATATCCAATAAGTTCAGATGTACTTCTGTCCAGAGGCCATGAGGCGAGTATTTTGTAGTCGGGTGGGGGGTAGGGTTGGGCTGTCTGATGATACCATCCTCCAAAGCTGATGTGCTGATGTCTGACAGTCATGTTCCACAAAGTGTGGTCCTTTTGTGATTCAGTTGTCTCTGCAGCAGGGATCTTACAGCAGTGAGCAGACTGAATCAGTGCTGCTCTGCCTTGTGTTACTTACAGTGTCATGCTACATTACGTTATTTTATTGGTTTGTGCGCTCTGTTTGTGAAGTTTACACTGGTCACGCTGCTACGGCTGAGTTGCTTTGTGCACAACTGTGAGGTGCCCTGACCCTAAAACATCAAGATGTTTCACTCAGGTCACGAAAAACAAGAAACTAGGGCTGTCCAGTAAATACTGTCTTAAATCTTAGTTAAACGCGGAATTTTTATAGTTAATTGTGATAATTTATATTTTTAACACAGGTCTATTATTTTCTTGTCCTTGTCAACATTGCAAAGCCATCCTCAGATCCTATGTCACTTTATCCTCGTTGTAGAAGTCCTGCAAACATTGTGTTTGCTGGTAGTCTGTTGGCATCTACAGTAGCACCAATGCTTTTGACTTTCACCTTGACTGGGCCCCATTTGTAATGATCTGAAGTATTTATCTGCATTATATCTGAATTTAATTGGAACGATACGAGCGAGCAGGAGCGTCTGTTTGTGGGCGGGGCTTGAGGGGAGAGGAGGAGCTGAGGGGAAAACTGGTTGGGAGGGGTAGAGTTTACATTCAAGATTTCTCCCAAAAACTGGAACTTCCTCAGATCCTGACTACCCCACCTTTAAGGTACTGAGATGTTTTTTAGAAAGCTCACATTATTTTTTACTCATCATCAAAAACTATCTGAGAGGAGTGATTTGGAGTGAAACGTGCCTGTCTAAAGTACAGCAGTGTAAGTAGTTTCTAGTATGATTACAGCAGCTAAACTATATTAAACTAAGGCATGCCCATGAATAATAATAATAATAATAATAATAATAATAATAATAATAATAATAATAATAATAAACTTGTTACAGTCGTAACTATGCATCCCAACATTATGATTCCAGCATTAACGCTGACAACAATGGGCGGCAGTAGCTCAGGGGGTAGAGCGGTCGTCTAATGACCGGAAGGTTGGCGGTTCGATTCCCCCCTAATCCAAGTCTGTCCGTTGTGTCCTTGGGCAAGACACTTAACCCACCTTGCTCCCAGTGTGTGTCCTCCACTGGTGTATGATTGTGAGTGTTGTGTGGTGGTGGTCGGAGAGGCCGTAGGCGCAGAATGGCAGACACGTTTCCACCACCACCAAAGTGTGACTGTGTGAGCGAATGAATGATGTATCCAATGTAAAGCGCTTTGAGGGTCTCTGATAAAGCGCTGTATGAAATTTGATGCATTATTATTATTATTAACAAAACCAGGATTTTTGTTGGCGTTTCCCAACCCGAATAGGGAGAGGAAATCTATCAACCAAGTTGGATCCTAAATTAAGTCCCAGATGCTTTTTTACCGCTGTTTGCACAGTAGTGATGAGACAGATTAAAGCTTCTCAAAAGTCCCCTACCGTAAACACAGCTTTTATTAAAATTTGTATTAAAAGATCAAAATCTTTCCTTTTGAGTCTGTTTCCAATCACAGTCTCAGTCTGCGCAGTAACACTTCACTTTGATTTGAGAAGAAACTAAATGAAGTCGCTCTTGTAAGCCGCCCTGTCAGGCTGTTTGGGTTAATCATCATATTGTGGTGACACTGATTATAATCAAGAATGAAAATTTAAGTAGATGATTGCTCAAATGGATAACTTAAGGGAGTCCTTGATTTGTCTTGAAGGGGACATGAATGTTTGAACTGTAATCTGTAATCCGTTGTAATCTTACAGACCCTCAGGTTAAACCCTGGAGAGGCTCTGCTGTTCAGGTTGGAAACCACTTGACCAAATGATTAGTCATTCAAAATAATCATAGTCTATTATAAACTAATCAATAGTTAGAGTCCTTGTGCAACATTTGATTCCTACCGGGACTGAGCACACACTCTCATCCACCCATCTGTCTTACTTAAGCTTCCCTAGCAGCACATTTGATACCTCATTTGCAGTTTTATAGCTGACTGTGAGCCAACTGGGTTTAGACAATGAGGGGAAATAAAACCTGCAGGAAAGCAGCGAGAATCAGAAAAGGAAGAAAGGAAGCACCGCGCCGTTCCAGGTGATACTGATATCATTATGAGGTAGGTAGATAATGTGCAATCAGACTAATCGTTACATGAATTTACCTCCACGCAGAGGAGGAGAGAACAAGAGCGGTGCTCCAGTTCTTAAAGATGGACTAGTTTACCCTGAACATGGAGGACGGAGATAAAGCTGTCTCTCATTCTCTGTATTTCATGAGCCTCAAAACTGTCGGAGAGTGCACATCAAATCTGGACGAACGCCTTCGTTTAATCATCAGGACATACAAAGTCTTTTTGGAAATAGTTTGATGTCTAAGGTTTGCATCAATTTTTGCACTCTGTTAGTTCAGACTCCAAATCCAAAATGTGATATAAATAAGTTAATGAAAGTGCCTGGAAACAGGTGTGTTGTCTTCCAGTCCAGAGGACGGTCACACAGAAAGACACACTTTTGTTCTCGTGGATGAATTTTCTTGCAGAGGGTTCAAGTTGAAGTTGCCGTTATTAACAGAGTCATATGTTTTTGTGAATGTACTTTATCTAGCTAGAGGCCTTGATATTCTTTTTTATGTTGTTGCAAATTTGCCGTATTTGCAGTAGCTTATGATTTCTTTCCTCTTGTCACATTAATTTTAATTTCACCATGCTCCAGCTCTTTTTCTGCAAATGTTTGAATTATTAAAGTGTGATTTTCAGAGGGGAGCAGAGACATTTGTGGAGATCACATATTTTTCAATGGTGCCCTATAGGCATATTATTCATTTGCTGGAATCAGGCAGCAGCCACAGCCACCCACAGAGTCCACTGCTTTTTGAAGAGCAATGCTATGCTGCTTAAAGTTGCTTCTCTACTTGGAGTGACCCCTGTTAGTCTGAGAAGTTTGAGTTTTATTTTGTTTCTGGAAGGGAAAAAAAAAAAGAAATTCCTCCTCTACAGCTCTGACCGCCAGCTGAAGAATAAAGTCTGTCTCTCTTCTGCGAACCAATAAACATTTCACTCAGTGCTTTTAAGCTGACGTGAAGACTCTTGAAGGTTTTATCAAAGGAAGAAATCATAAACAGTAAGTAAGCTGATCCTTGAAACCATTAGACTCTTGGAAGGATGCATCCTACTCTGATACATCATTTGCTTCTTGCGCAGCACTCTAGCATGTCCACAACAGAGAAGAGTAAGTCTGACTGCAAATGGATTCAATAAGTACAACACAACAACAATTCATTCTGTTTTATTTTTATACATCCGATATATTTCACATAGACCAAGGCCAATTAATCCATTTATGTTGAGTGAAAACACTTGTTGATAACACCTGCTTCTGTTCCGTTTGCATTGTTATAAATATCATTTCTCTGTTCGAGCTGTAAACAACAATTTGAAACTGTAACCCTGAAATGATCAGCGGCACTCCTTCTCTACGGCGTTTAATGGACTAACTGTATAATTGAGCTGTTAAACAGAAATAATAGAAAGCTTGATTATGGACCTCATGTTTATGAAAGCACTGTGATCATTTCAGACTGTGCTGAACGACTCATCTTTTGTTGCTCTATAAAGTAAATCATGGTGTAAATACAGGTTTAATCAAACGTAACAATTGTTCAGAATGAAGACTAATACAAGCGCCGCCTGACTCCGACAGTGAACGCTCATTGAGTAGAACATGTTAAAGTCATGGGGTTTGACTTGAAGCTCGCTTTGCTTTATGTTAATCAGGTATTTTTACAGATCGACTTTACCTTGAGTATAATATTTCAGTTCTCTTTCTGCCCCTGGAGATGCCACAGTCTGTTTTAATTGCAGCTGGGAATAGAGGAATCCTGTAGTCATGTAAATAGTTCAGCAGCGACGGATCGGATGTGCACTCAGACGTCCGTTCATTATTTTCTGATCAAACTCCTTTGTGGTAACTGGGTTTTAGAGGGGACCTGTCTCTATTTGTTCAAACTAGATTCTTCGCCTTTGACCTTTACCTTAATGAGTTCATGTAGGAAATCAACACACACACACACACACACACACACACACACACACACACACACACACACACACACACACACACACACACACTGAGTCCCTTCATAAAACAATTGCTGTAAAAGGCAAACTTGTGGGTCACGGCTGAGTCTGACGGTAAGTGGAAGAAAACAGAGCAATGATTATCATTTTTATTATTTATCATTATTTTGGCATCTTTATTAATTAATTAATTGATTTATTTTAAAGAGATGATGAAAGGTACATATCACAGAGTCAGGGACTGTTTTACGTGGTTTGTAAAATCCCATTTGTAAGCCTTATCCCAGCTTTGATCATGCTGACGAAACTGGTTATTAACTCTTCTGCATACACGATAAAGTCTTGAATCCCCAGGTCTTATATCCACAAACACCAGCAATGCTCATTTTGTAGAACACTGACTCACTGCAGGCTTGGTACCATTAAATGCCATCACCATGTTGCAGAGAAGAGAGTGACAGCACATTAAAAACACGTCTTTAACTCTTGACTGGTGTCAGCCTTTCAGTGCCACCTCATAGGACAAGGAGGCAATGAGTGAAGACGCGCAGCTGTGACTCAGTGTCTGATTCATATAAGGATTGTGCCGCTTATGCACCTGCTTGATCCATGCGACAGCCAAAAAGACCAAGTCACAAAGCACATGATAAGAATGAAATAATGGTCCACAGAGCAAGTCGTGTTTTTGTGTGCTCGTGTTATCTGCATACATTTAAAGGAGTTACTATGCATTCATTTGTAGTGAAATAACCTTTTTTTTTAACACAAATGAAACTTTATTATTATTATTATTTTAATTATTATTTTTTTAACTAAGATGGTGCTAACAGACCTGTACAGTCTAAGTGAAACTAATACTGCCGAAAGAAATCATCCACATACTCTTCAGCGGTCATAACAACATTTTGTATCTGGATGATCTAGAAATATATCTTTACATGAAATCAAAGTTTGGGCACACAAGGATTAAAATGTTTGAGAGTAATGCACACAAGGAAATGAGACAATCTCGCAGAGACCGAGAGGTGAAGGGAGTATAAATGCACCAAGACATAATGCTAAACAGGTGTGACACACTGGGAAGATGAGCTTCAGCTGGAGAGAAGGAGGTGAGGGTGGGGGCAGGAAGTAAAGCTAGAAGACAAGGGAGAAGAATTAGACTTTTCAAAATAAAAGAGGAAACGGGAATAAAAATAGAACTTAACTACGGTTAACCAGGAGACTGTTTCTGTGGTGTGCTCCAGAGGGATATAAACTTTGACATCTGTGTTAAATTAGTGAATCTACTTTACTTTTAAATATTATGAGCGTTCGTTCTCCATTTACCTTATCTCATATGTAGATAGAATTTTGCACAGTCAGGTTGAGAGTGCACAGTACAGCTCTGTGCAGTGGGGAGAAGAGATGCTCGCAGCTCAACTCAGTCACAGTAAAATGTAAAACTGGAGTGTCTTCTTCACACATGCCACAGTATCATTTCTTTTCTGTTGGAGTTCTGCTGGTTCCTCTATTACAGGATGAAAACTCGTGTTTAAAATTGGGATATAATGTTTACATGCGCAAACACAAAAGGGAGTTCTTAAACACCCAATCACAATCAGTGAAGGCTTATGTAAAACTCTCTCCTTACACCTGTTATTCAGTGAGCGCTGAGTACAACACTGCCATTAGTAGTTGCAGTAGGAGTGCTAATTACTCAATTGCACCCGCTGTCTGTGTCAACAGCAACTTCCTGCAGCTATTTGTCAGCACCTCAGCATGAAGTCCTCTCTCATCACAAAGTCACAGCTGATTTGGGGCATAAAACAGAATCTGGAAGAAGAATTTTGAACAAAAATTAACTGGAGAGCCGTCGCTGGTGTTGCAGCTACCAATGGTCCCTCAAGACTTAAAACAGGACAGAACAGCGTTTTTGTTTTTGGCCTCAACATGGCAGGGTTCTGTGTAGAATAAAGAATGTTAATGACTGAATTGAGAAGCGCAGTATTGGGCGGATCAAACTTGATTAAACAGACCTGTCCTCTTGACTGTGTAGAGCTAGAAAACTAAAAGCCTAGAATCGTAAATAAAAAAACGCGTCTTCCTTTTTGCTGGGTTTGGAGCACTCAGCCAAAGTCCTGTTAGATCTGGATGCATTTTAATATCCGAACCATGTCTGCACAAACCCTTAGAGTCATCCAATTTTGCATAATATGAGTTTTTATGATGTCATGTTTTATCCCCTCTGATCCAACCCTGGAAGCCAGGGCTGGATCATGAACATTTGGTCCTTTTATTATAAAAAAAACATACAAAGTGACACATCTATTTTTGGAAAGCTGTGTTACAAAGAATATATCATCAAGCAGGGAGGCAGTTTGGTGAAAAATTCATATCCGAGCCTGATTTCTATCAAACTGATAGAAATCTCTCGAGGAGTGGCCTCTCATTCAAAGGTCAGGACTGTTTCAGATAAGGCGGGAGGGAGAGAAATACTTTTCACGCTTTTGACTGTCTACACAACCACATCTGAATCAGACACTATTCACTCTCAGCCTGCTCCCCTGTCATTTCAGATAATTTTCACTATTGTGATCAAATGCAAATGCCCCGTCACAGTATGTGGGGAAATTGTTTTTCCTCTGTGAAAGGATTACATGAGTGAGATGAGTGGATACCAGTTGTTGTTTGGAAATGAAATAGTGCTATGAATAGGTCCAAATTTGACATTTGGCCCCATTTCACTAGTCATTTCATGTGTCTGGTATTAGGGATAAAATACAGATGAGATTTAATGCACTGTGCCACATGAATATGTGTCTCTGTTGGCCAGATTATAAATGTAATCAATACAAATTTCCATAGGATTTAAGCAAATCAGGGTTGGCTTTCCTCCAGACTCCAGGCTTTATTCCAACCAAAAAACTAAGGTTAACATGTGCACTATGGCTGCTCAGGCACATGAATAAAGCATCTCTCTCCAACTCTCTCTGATCATTCAGGAGGTAATGGTGAAGTTTCTGTGTTAGTGAAACATGAGAGTAAGCATTATTTTTACTCCACACAGCTGAATGTAGCTGAATGATCATAGTTACACTTTGTGAGGGTAAAGTGAAAAATCATGTTGAAGGAAAGTTGAATTTACTATTTTTCCTGCCTTGTTGTAATCTGACTGCTGCTGTTACATCCAGTTCGGATTAAATTGTGTTTTTAGCTCGTTTTTAACACGTCCTAGGTTATCTTTAGAGCAATGATCTGCAGCCTCTATGTTTCTAACTGTACTACCTGTGCTGTTGTCTCATATGTTAATTAATCATTTTTTTGGCAAACATTTATCATCATTAGGGTCATCCTGCTCAACTTGGAACAAAGCATCATGTGAGTTTTTTCATGCCCACCCAAGAAAATTGTTAACTATTTCTGCATTTCCAATCGTTTATATAAGTGATGAAGTGCACTCTCACTCTGCACCTTTTGCACATATTTGTGAGTATTTATGTTGTGTTTCCCCCCCTGCCAGCGTTAGTTTACCATTTTTCTGTGCTGCTGACACTTCAGATCAAAAGAGGTTTTTAATCATTAAAATCACAGGCTTTAGTTGGAGATTAATTTTGTAATACAACCCGATATAAATATATGATACACATCACACTTGTTATCAGTGAAGATTTCACCTCAGCGCCCCACTGCTGGACTGGAACTTCACATGAATATTCACATGTAATCAGTCTCTTTGTGCTGCATTTTCACTCTTTCCAAAGCCAGCTTCACCACAGTCATCAGAATGCCTCTACTTCCCTCTCAGGAACAGTTTTGAACGGCCAACATCAATTATTGACAACAATTGCATATACAGTATATTAACTACCACACTGTTGCATTATGAATAAACCATGGGCTGTTCGAAAGGCTAAATTTGAACTGACTGATTTCCATTTTTGCTGTTGATCAAATTCCTCCCCTGCAACCAGTGGCCAAAATACTGTCCAGAACAAATAATGGAATAATCAAAGAGTGTTCAACAATCCCAGCATATTCAATCATAACAAAATGGACCGTGCTGTATCCAGACAGGCCCAAGCTGAATTTCATTTAATTAACAAGCGCGGGTTTTGATTCCAAATGATAATATTTATTGGGACAACATCCAAAAGAGATGCTAATAAACCAAATGAGGGATATTTTCCTCCCATTCTCAGTATTTTGGTGTTTTACAAAACTGAACAGCCTTCCTGCTGCAGAGGTTTTTTTTTATGAAATCACAAGGCTGACTCTTGGTTCCCTTGTGTGTCTTGGGTAATGAGTTATTCATGCTTATAAAATGATGATTAATTGAAATGTCTCTGACCACAGAAAATGGAGTTCTCATTAAAAAGTCTGTCCCCAATAAGTTTTTATTGAGTTACTTCATACAGAGTCATTATTGTCTGTCTTTGAACTATCGGTTCAATTTTCCATGTAGAAATAAAAGTCAACAAAGAATAATTACCAACATTTACTTCAGGGCTGTGGCACCTTGGCAACTGTAATTAATCACATTATATTGATGGCTTTCTCTTGACCTACTATTTCCATATAAAACTCAGAGCTCAACTAATATTTTATTAAAATGTGCATAAACTAGCAGCTGCAGAATTACCGTACAGAAGACCTGAGGAAGAGTCCAGCACCAAGGCAAGAAAAAGCAGAACCCCCATGAAGTTCAGCTGAAGACCGAGCGATGGAGGACTTAAGGGGAAAAAATAAGGGTGGGATTTGGATCCCAACACAGACACAATCTTATTTGACAAAAACAGGCTTGGCTATTTAATGATATGTGCTGAGATGAGATGGAAATTCGCCACCGATCAGAGATTTCTCTAAAGCCTTTCTGGCATCTGAACTGTCCTTGAAGTCTGTCTGGGTTGAAATTATCCATCAGTGTTGAACTGCTCTACGATGAATCATCCTTCCTGCTAACAATAAGAAACGAAAACTGTCGGAGGTCAGAGGGAGCAGCTGAAGAAGTTCATCAGCGTCTAATATACAAACACCTTTTGTCATGAACCGAAAAACAAAACATCTTCATACAAAAAGTTCTTTTCTCTGTCTTTTGGTATAAAAGGAACTGTTCATGCACAGCCCTACGTCATGCACACATTGTTAGAAGAAGTTTTGTCTTCCTTATTCCACCACAGACTGAGCTTTGGCAGAAACAACCACTGTGACATTTCTGTTCCCTGCAGACTTCTGAAAGCTTTAGCGACCGTAATCTGTGTCATGTGGTCACACGTCAATGAAAGCTACTCTTTGCACTGCGTATTAAATATAAGTGCTTTTGAATTATGCAGTCTCTGAATGCTTTATGCTGCAGGGTGACCTTAAAGCACTGTATTTTATAAGCATTGTAGTGAATATATTGAAAAACAATGAAAGGTTGAAGGTACTGTGAGGAGTGTTCATGTTGTGTCGAGTGTGCTGACCTTTTTTCAGACAAATCTAGTCGTATTTTTCTGGGATGAAGAGCTCATACCCTGTGAGTACCATCACCCACTGTGGTAAAGATTTGGCTTGGTGTGGACCACCACAATAAACTCTTGGTATGTTACCAAAACCTCTACAGAAGAAGGACAGAAGTGAGACTGACTGGGTTAATATATCCCCCATACAAAAGCTACAGAGCTCAGAAACTGTCTGTTTTTTTACTACTCCACATAAAACCACATGTAATAATCAATCAGGAGATGACCTGATTTTGATTGGCTGGAAAGGGACATATTGCCACCTAGCATCTGCTGTAAATCAGTGTACTGGACCAATGACTGTTGCTTTACGTCACTGTGCATGTAAACATACCGTCTGAACTAAGATGACTGCGCCGCACTGGGATCCCATTAAATCATTTAATTTAAAGATATTTAAAGATGTTGGTGTATCCCCCCTGACCTAATGAGACTGTTTGACCATTTTGTTGATTCAGAGTGTCTGGAAAGTTGCTGGTTAATGTTCTTTTGGTTAGGAAGGGAATTCACAGTTATACTCTTTCTCTCTGAGTTCAAAGACACCAGAAAACAGTGAGGGATATTTTTGTTTTTTTGAGTCAACCACAGCCACCTCGTAGCTTTCTTCTTGACTGGTGGCTCCTCTGTCCAGTAAGATCAACCACAAGATTTTCCACCATAACAGCAGGTCGTGCAACAGCAGTGAAATATAATGGGGAGCTGACAAGGACACCACCTGCTAGCCTGAGAGGATTTCTGTCAGGGTTGTCTCATGACTATAAAGCTGTTTAAAAACGTAACATCCACAAACTGCGACACATTTAATATTACTGTAAAAACAGACAAGCAAAGCATTTCAGGCAACAGCTGGATTGTGCTGAAATGAGGTTTTTCAGGGGCACCAGTATGAGATTAATAAAGTTTTACAAAGCACCTCTATAGAAGACCGAGACTTACGTAACCAAAGGTAAAAAAATAAGTATAACAGGTCTCCTATGAAAACTGTTTCCTCAGGGCCACTGTGAAATAAGCAGGACTGCTTTACTTGAGAACCGTATTTAGAAGAATTCCCATTTGATCGTTTTTATTTACAAGATCAGCCAAAGAAAAAAGGTCCAGTTCGTTATGTAAGCTTTGTCTAAAGGATTCTTTGGTTATTTTTGTGGTAAGTGCGACATGACATATGCTTATGACCGTGATAGAAGTATTAGCAAAGTTTTTTCTTTACAGCGTAACTAAAAAAGGACATGAAACACTAAACGAAGTTATTATATTTTACAAAAGGGTCTCTCGCCTTTAAAAAAAGTACTTTAAACACAGACAGCCACAATAAATCTAAGAATCCTGTATTTAAAAACACAAAACACAGCTGACGCCATATTTGTTGTGCCACAGAACGCGAATCGAATCATCTAGTTAGGAATATACAGTCTATGGGAACAACACTCAAAATTAGCAAAAAAATGACAAAGCAAGAACATTATTACTTGGACTGTCAGAATCTTGTGTAATCCTAGTAGCGCTGCCTTTGCAAATTCTGATGTTCGGGTTGTTCAGCGAGGTGGTGGTCAGCCTTTGTCTGGGGCATACGAGCCTGAGCAGTGAGCCCCTGTATGAATGTTTCCCATCATTCCAGATGGTCTTCATTAGACCCTTTTACACGGTCTGAAGCAGCATGGATGCCTTTCACATCAAGTTCCTCTTTTTTTACCATGTAAGACCCTCACTGACAAAGCTTCACTGTTACCTGGAGGTGCTCTCTCCCTCTCCACTCATTACTCTTCAAGGAAGTGGCACTCATGCTGTTTTTTTTTTACACCAAAACCAGAGGTTTGATTTTTAATCCTTTATAGGAGTGCTGCTCGTTTGTTACCATGGTAACACTCCTCCTTTAAACCAATCTTTTCGTAGTGGTTGGTCAACCAGCCTTACTGGTGTCATCATCACAGTTTACATCTACAACGCCTCAAGATTTAGATTTAAGAAATATTTTCTGAAGACTTAAAATTTAAACCAACACAGTTAATAACACACACACACACACACACACACACACACACACACACACACACACACACACACACACACACACACACAAATAATAAACACAGTTAACTTACATGTTATCATCAATTTCTTACAATGTTCATATTTATGAATTATCGACATCACTGGCTGTGTAACGGAAACTTGCCTCTGAAAATAATATTTTTCTCATCTTTTGAGATGTATAAACAGAATTTATTACAGTGATGAAATAGTTCTTGCTTTTTTATTTTGTATATTTGTCTTTTTTGTGTGTGTGTGCCTGTCTGATTGCAGGTTTGTTTCGCTTTAAGATCTCTGAAATAAATACGTAAAAGTTCATTTAAATTTGGATGACTTACTGAAAGTTGTCTTTGAATTTCCCTGTGGGATTAATAAAGTATCTATCTATCTATCTATCTATCTATCTATCTATCTATCTATCTATCTATCTATCTATCTATCTATCTATCTATCTATCTATCTATCTATCCATCCATCCATCCATCCATCCATCCATCCATCCATCCATCCATCCATTTTATAAAAATAAAACCTAAAGCATTAACATGGTTATGGTGATAGGTTGACTGTAATTACCTCTACCACAAGCGTCAATACTTACAGTAATATGCAGACCATGTGTCCCCATTGTGTGCTTTTGACCATGCATAATTTTGTCAATATACTATAGCCTGTCCCAGATTTGGAATCATAATAACTGGCACACAGATGCCTCCTCATGACCCATAAAATCCAGATTCTCAGAAAACCCAGTGAATCATATTTTAGCCAATAAAAAGAGGTCAACTGTCTGTAATGTCCGTTATGAAGGCCACTGAACATTAAATGTTTGGGAAGTGATCTTATTTTGGGATTTCAGTTAAAGGAAGCACAAACAGCACAAAAGTGATGAAGTAGGAATGGTTTTTCATAAGTGACGTAAATATGTGAAATGTTATCAGACGAAATCCTTTCAGTCTGAAGTGGAGATTAGAGATGGGTCCAGATCAGTAAACCAATACCTGATATCATGTAAAACTACAACTAAAAAGTATGAAATATATGTTCTGTTGTGATATAAAGAATAATGCTGGTTTATACGAAAATATGTAATTTTGTGAAATTATAACATCACGACTTTATCTTCTCATTTCATGAAATCATTTGAAATTCACCTGAAACATGTTTTTGGCCGAAATAAGCATGTATATTGAATTGTTATATATGTAGTTGTAATACTGTGTCAAATAAAACTAATGGACACTAATATCAAGTGGAGTTATAGGCATTGGTATCGGCTGTTGAAAAATCAGAAGACGCTCTGAAGTGAGTAACTTCTTTATTTTTCGAACAGAAATTCAAATTCTTATTTACCTGATTAGGGTTAGAAAAAATCTGGAAATCAATCAAAACTGAGCTCAACTGAATAAATATAAACCAAAACACAATTCACAGACTCTGCAGGTGAACAATGTCAAACTGCTTTACATTTACAAAGCTAGCACCACCGGCCTCTGCTCTCCCTGTACTTAGCACTCATGTTATTGACCAGTTGTTCTGGTGCAAAGTAGCAAGAGTGATTATAACCAATCATCCCATCAGCAAAACACTAACAGTCATATCTCTGCAGCAGACATCCCTCTTGAGCTGAAGTTCTGCAAACTGCATGTCTGTCCTGATCACTTTGCACCAGACCACAAGCACCTTTGATGAATATGTACCTGCTTCAGGCCAGGGGCTGAATGATTGCAATGAGATGGAAAAGTATAGACGGACCTAGAGCTGCAATGTACTGAAATTAATTATGGGAAATCGCCTTGCCTTGCTGTGGAGAAATGAACATATATATAGTCAGAGGGGAAATCAAGTAATTTCCAGTAGCTGTGAGTGATGTTCATGAAAAAAATGAAAGTGATTTGTGTTGGCAAATTAAAATGGAAGCAACTCAAAAAGTACTGCCTTGTATTAAAGTGGTTAATAACTTAATCTCAAGTATAGATGTGAAGAATTTTGAGATAATATTTTTCTTTATCTGAACATTTAATGCTTAAAAAAACTTATCGGTGTGCGAGTCTCTTGTGCTTGAAGGACATCTGTGGTGGAAGAGCAAAAGAAAATACTCTTAAAATCGCTGAAGCTAACACGTCTTTACCTGCACAGATAATGAAGAGGTGAGTCAGGGTCAGAAGTTGAGAGTGAGAAATAAGAGAGAGGGAGCAAGAGGGGTAGAAAAGTGAGCTCTCTTGTGAATGTGACAATAGACGAATGGGTGGGAGACGGGGGGATGAAAAGGGAGTGAGGGGATGTACCTTGTTTGGAGGGATCCTCTTAATATCCTGTTGTTTGTGACACCACACTTCTGTCTTTTTGTAGTTTTTGTTGAATTAGACCTTATTCAGAAATGATCAGTGCTTTAAAAGACGGTGTTATATGCATCATTGTGACTCTGTTAAGGTAATTTCTGCCATATATAATGAGGCTACATGTTACCTAGCAACACAAGCAACACACGCATTGAAAGGCACGGAAAAGCGAGATGAAAGAAAAGTTACACAACCACAAAAGCACACAGCAACTCGGAGTAGCATTTGATTTCAGTTGGTGACAGGGGAAAAACAGGAGTAATGTGCTTGCAGAGCATACCTTTATAGGTATAATCCATTAAATGATACATGTATTTAAACAAGGGTAGGAAATTATAACCTGCTTTATTGATTTATGTATTCCTTGTTCCAAGCGTGAGCAGAATTTATTGTGAACCACATGATGCATACAGGGGGAGACTTTAGGGGGAAGGTTGAACCTGCTGATCCTAATGTGATCATCCATTACCTGCATAAATCACATAATCATCATAAATCATAACACTCAAGCACACATAAACACTAGTGCTCGTGCGCTCACATATACATATTGCACAGACATAGACGTTTCAGCGGGGGCATGCTTGGTTTGCTCAGCTTGAAGGAATTCACCGGGTCAGAATTCTGCAGGAAGACACCTCAGCTCTACCTTTGGACTGCAGTTTGCATCGCTTGTGTAATACACACACGTATTAAATCACTCTCTGTTTAACTTTGAGTAACGCTCTTTCAGAGCAGCTAAGTCTCAACGGCCCACTTACATGTGGGTCAATACACTTGCACTTCTAATGAAATATGTTTTCAAAAAAAGCTAGCGTAACGGATGAACACATTTGATCTCAATTAAACAGATTTCCTCTCCTGTAATCTGTCTTATTCCCCGAGTCAAATTGCACAACTTCAATTCAGCAACTGCACAAAAAAAGAGACCAAAATTTAACCATTTTCAGCATCAGACTACATCATTATACTCATCATGCAGAATTTATTAATTTGCTTTTGTGAACAGTCATGTTTGTAGAAGCCGTCCACTTATGAAAGCTGATATCCCATGTTTGTTCCCAATATAAACATGTTCCCGTGATATCTGCAGGTTCTTCCTCACTAATGTTGACATAGAAAAATAGCCAACAGCAAAAAAGGGTGTTGAAAACATTTTGGAGGCAAACACAGTCCAGAAACATGACCAGAAAACTCTCGCTCTCCGGTGAACTCTCTTCAGCCAGCTGCCACTTTATTTAGATTTCAGATGGATAACTCTTCATTTCCCTGTCAGAATAAATCAAGTTAAAACGTGTCAAACCAGAGTGTCCGTGTTGAGATGATAACAGAATTATATTGTGACAGTTTGGGTTCGAAAAACTTGGTTGAGAAGCTGGAAGAGTGTTGAAGAAGTAGGTGAACACTGAGAATGTGTTACCATGACTGGGGCTTTTCAAACAGAGACTTTCCATAGGTGCTTATTGTGTTTCTGCAGCACCTTTCTAGTCTTTCACACTGCTCGGTTTTCTTTTTTCCATTCAAGCCACAATTATGAGTTCCAATAAACTGGGAACTGCATCAGCTTTGTATCAGCTACATGTCTGTCAAAAGCATGAACAATAAGAAAGAATGGAAGTATGAATTTGTTTTTTAAGTTTTGCCCAAGACAAGTTTAAGTTCTGCAAGTTGAGGAAAAGGTTGTCATGAAATACTTCTGCTGCAGGTTGGATATGTTGGTTATTAAATAACATGTAGTAACAGGACATACTGTATGTGGTCTTATCTGGTCTTATGTGGTCCGCCTTCATGAGTCCCTCTCAGTACTCAGCTGGTGTCTGTGTTTAGCAAATCTTCCATCATAAATACTCACTGGTAAGACCAGCCCTCTATCCTGATGTGGGTGAAAACATTCATGAAACAGACTCATGATTTATTAAAGTACATCATTTTACTATCACATAAATCCGCCTCCTCTCTCTAAATTAGCAGATTGCTGTTTTCTGCTCCTCCTTCTGGATCGCATTGATGGGCTTCACACGCCAACAGAATGGTGCCAAAAAAGTAGGCCACTACAGATGAGTTATTTTAGTCCTTTTCTCATGTTTTAATAGCCTAAATGGGGATGTGTGTACCTTACCAAAACGCAACAAGTGAAGATTTTGTTAACCTTACTTACCCAAACCAGGCTGCCATAGAGAATATCTGCCAACATTCCCATTTCCCCCGGGACTCCCCCGTATATTAGACCTATCTGCCGTCCACCTCCCACCTTGCATGGTCCACATTCATTCATGAATCTGATCACTATATTTGTCCAAAGTTGTTGCAAAATGAACACGTCAATGACAGGGAAACAAACGCGAGATATAATATTTACACTGATATTCTTGCACCGTCTCAGAGTGATGCATTCAGGGTTGCCTCAGATAAAAGAGTGCTGTACTGCACGCACACATGTTCAGAGAGTCTCATACGGGAGTGCAAAACAAAACAAAGGAGTGCACAGCTTCACTTTTACTTATTTGTTTGAGCAATCTAATTACAAATACTCTCATAATTAGCTCATATCCACCAGACAAGGTAACCCCAAAACCACCCGGCGCATCGCAAAAATCTCCCGGATTTTATAACCCAAATGTCGGCAGGTATGCTATAGGGGCGTGTCTAACTGTGACAGCAACGGTCTGAAACAAAGGTGATGCTCAACATGGAAGTGCCTCACTGCAGTTCAAGAGAGGTAACCTCAAATTTGGCTGCATTGACTTCCTACATGCAGTTATAGAATCAAAACAACTGACTTATACCTGATCAATTTCACCTGTTGCAGCATTCTTCTCAACATAAATAAATGATCGAGACAGCTTTTTCCTGCACATCCGTCCTTAAATTCAGGTGAAATTAAAGAAATTATGTCGAGTTTAAGTGAAATCATAACCGAGCAGTTTCCCAGCCATCTGTTATCTTCATATCATGATACTTTCTGGCTGCTGTCATTGTGGATTTTGCATTTTCAATCTTAGTCATAAAGTATGGCTGAAGGCAAAATATTGCACTTGTGCTGTCAAGATTTATATATTCATACATTCATGCTCTCTGCACCAATATTAATCTTGGAACATGTAATTTATGTGTTTCCAAACAGATGTGGGGGCATTTCAGCTGAACCAATATTTAATATGTATATCATTCTCTGCATTATGAGTTATTTGGGTTTCCAAATGTTTGTGTCGAGTTCGATTTCACAGAAAGACTCTTAGGTTAATGAATTTCCCCCTGATCAGCTTATTGCATCATTAATGTGTTTTTGTGAAGAGTCAGCCATGACTGTTTTGACCTTTCTGAAAACACAATGAGGAGTCTTTAATGAATGCTCCTGTGTCAGACCATTAGCAACAAGTCCATTAGTTCACCTTTTATTACCACCCGGCACTGTCTCGTTATCAAAGAGAGAATCCCAATTAGCCCAAAACAACTTGTACAGATGTTTTCAGACATCTTTGTTCGCGGTGCCCCTGTGTACCGTCATGTTTTTCCAGCAGCGAGTGAAACATCAAACAAATACGTCGGTTCATCCTGATTAATCTGAGGCTTGAGTGTGTTTGTGTCTCACAGAGCCAGACAAAGTGACAGTTTCTGTGTCGTAAAGATCAAGAGCTCATACAGGCACCATAACCATAAAGTTGTACCTCATTTAATCATTCCTTCAACAAAAGCAAGTCTGCTTACATTGGAGTACATAACATTTATAAACCACAGAGAAGCTACAGGGTTCTACATCCGGCTTCTTTTCTCCAGACCAGAGTCGAATACAGGATTATAATTAACTCAATTATTTAACATTTCACACAGAGAAATTGGCACATTTTATCGTTTTCCTTTGCTCTGTCTCTCTTCATCGTCTTAAAGGAAAGAGGGGAATGTGCGACTTCACATGAAGGGTGGGGAGCTGAAACAGGGTAATTGGAGCCCTGAGTGGAGTGAGAGGCTTGTGATCCCTTTGAGAATGGCAGGCATATGTCTGCATTACTTCCAGCTGTCCTGACGGTGAGCAAGCTAATTACATCATGTTTGTATCCTGCTAATTAGCATCCTAATTAAAAACACATAAAGGAGTTGGAGGGGGTAGATGAATGTTCAGACTGTTCTGGACAGGGGATCTTTTTTCTTGTATAGATCTGACCTCAGTCTCTGAAGTTGCCCGTCTAAGAATGTCGTTTTCAGTTCTGTCCTTTTAATTATGATTACTGGTGTTGCTGTTTCGTCATAATAGAAACTCTTCCTGAGATGATACCACCTGTACAGACCTGCAGACGTTTAGTCTCCATTGATGCCCATCAGATTACTCATCTGTTACGGAGATAGAACTCTGGAGAAACTGTGAAGAATATCATTCGGATTGTGGATACAAAAATAAACTGTGTTTGCAGACAAGGGTTCATGGAAGAGTCCTGTTGCCTAAGACTTAAAGATCACAGCAGTCTCATGTCCTTGTTTGTCTGTTTTATTAATGAAGAAATTCACTTGGATTTCTCTGAATCCATTAATGATGCACTTTGGATGGTGAAAATCACGTGTTATTTGCACGTCTTCCCATCTTCACCTCTGGGAGACTCGGCTCCTGTGGACGCCCTTTTATAACCCAGTCATGCTAGCTTGATTCAAAATCACATCATTAGTGGGGTGATTGATTTCACTACTTAGAGTTACAAATCATCACACAGCATAACACAACCTTTTTTACTGGTTTGATGACCCTCTTCCAACTTTCTCGAAACATGTTGCTGCCATCAGATTAAAGTTTATTTCAAAGTAATAACATTTTTAATTTTACCATTTGATATGCTGTCATTGCACTATTTTACACATCCTCCTAACTTTTTAAAACTCAGAGTTGTAGATTGAAATCAGTGTATTTACACCCAGACTCACAGAGGACGGGGATCAAAGCAGTGTGGGATGTGAACTGCTCTGAGTGATGTTTGTGTTATTGCCAGAGGCTTCCCATACACCAGCTAATTCAAGATTATACCACTTTGTGCATTGCATTTGATATAATGAAGCAGAAATAATGACTCGTGGTGAAATAGGGGGGCACTTATTCCAGCGCTTTCATGGCAACCGTATGACTCTGAGTGAACAAATTACACAGCCACTCAAACGTTTTTACTGTTTTATTTATATTTTTATTGTCAGTTAAGATTTTTGTAGCTGCCGTCAGAGACAGTGAGGTCCATCTAATGAGTTGTTTGATTTTTGTTTAATAATTCAAGTTAAAAGTTTAAGTTAAAATACAAGAAAAAATATGGGTTAAAATCATGTATAGTTTAGATAAACAGATAAATAAATGAATATTATTTTAATCACATGGGCATTTGTGCTATAACGAGTTTAGCGGACTGATGTGTGGAGCTAAGGGAGAGTCAGGTTATTTATTTTTTCATTGTGAGATACCAGGTTTCTTCATAAACATGTTCTGTTTTGTAAGATGTATTTGCTTTGCTGTATTTGCTGTTGTTGGAGTTAAACCAAACTCAGACTGTGTTTTTTAATATTGTTCTGGTTCTTGTGGCGCCTGAAAACCACAGAGCAGAAATCAACTGCCTGTAGTCAAAGGAACGCCTTGGTTCGATTCAAGTGGAGGGGGGGTCACAATTTTGGTTTGGTTTCGTTTAAGTGATTTGGACTTTAAACTGAAAATACAGTTTGTGTTTAATGAAGGACACAGACACAAAGCTTAAACTTTGGATGGACGTCTTTCACGTCTGTAGAGTCACTGCTGACTTAAACAGGCTGAGGCAAACTACAGGTCTCAAAAGGCTAATTTCAGTCACCTCTGTGCTGCCATCATGGACATTTGAACAAAGTGAGCTGAAGAATATGTTTAACTAACCTGTCCTTGAGGAAGTTAACCTCCTCTTTACAACATAATTTATGAATACCAACAGGAGAGTGCTCTGTAATCCTTCCTCTGAAACTTAAAAGAAATATTAAGCAGTAACAGTCATTTAAGATGTCCATGTTCCTCAACTTTCAAGGGCAAGAGCCAAGGGTAAAGCAATCCCTCTGAAGAGTTTATGCCTGATAATGTGTCAAACAGGAGTAAGGCTATTATTTTATCATCCACTGTGAGGTTGTGGCGATATCAGCCAAGTTAATTTTCTAATCAAAGGGAAAACACCGTCAAAAACACTGTCAGCATTTAATGTCATCTTCCTAAAACAACCAGAAGTTTGTGCCACGAGAAGGAAACTGAGAGCAATCCTCAGGGTTTGGTTGTTGTTGGGAGGAAGGAGAAACCTAAGAGCGTTCGGGTGAAGATGAGGCAAAGAAATCATCATTTCTGTCTGAAGTGTGTTAATGAAATTCAACATTTCTGGACAGCTGTTGGCTTGTCTCTGGACGTTAGGCCAGCCCTAAAGGCATGATAGTTCTGTGTGTCCTGAATGTTTTGCTCTGAGCTAGAGGAGATTTCTTGTGGCACTGACAAAGGTTCGCTGAGACCCTGAAGAGTTTGAACCAACAGCTCGACTTGCTGCCATCTTGCATTCGTGCAAAGTAGAGACCCTTGACGATGATGATTGCCAAGTCGAGCCTGGGTCTTTGCCAGCTTGTCATGACTCCCATTTTGGCTAAAACCAAAATGGCCTAGTTGTATAGATGAAGTCCCAACGCTTTAATAGTATATCAGGTGTAGGTAGTAGCAGCATTTTCACAAGAGGCCATGACTGCGTCTAGCAACAGGTGATAAAACCTTACACACTTGGTAAAGTTGAACGCCTCTCCCATCACCAGAAGAAAGCAGAAGTTCAGTCCTGACTGCTTAAAGCAGAAGTAAGGAGAACTCTGGGGACATTGTCTCCTGTGATTCCAAGTGATGCTGGATGAACTGTTTCCAACTCTGGACTGAAATCCATCAAATATCCACTGGCTGTTTGCGATGTAGTGTTCAAAGAGGTGTGAGCAGCAGGAAGAACTTCATCTAATTCAATGATACACCTGAATGAAGTCATTCTGAGACACTATAATGAGTTTTTGCAAATACAAGCTCAGATGTCTGGGCTCGTGAAGAAAACATTCAAGCAGTGAGAATAAAAACATAGTGGGTTATGACAGCAACAAAACTGCAGGAAACACAGCAATGAGGGAAAATGACCAGCTATGTTTCCTCTTGCTGTGAAAATTGTCGGCTTTGACAAACAAATTAAATATATTGTGTCACACAGCAGCTGGCCTTCGCTCCACTCTCACAAACAATGCCATTCAACAAGGTGAATAGAGACCGATTGGACTTAGATATGAGAGGTAAGACAAATTGATAACCACACTCTGCATCAGCTGAGGTTCCACAAAGCAAAGTAAAAAAACAACAATTTGAGCTTGTGGATATTAAGACACAAATTGTCCTGTATGCTACATATCCTGGTACCAAGCGGCATCTCCCAAACTTCAAAAGAAAGTAGTTGAGAAGTGCTAAAAACTGCAGTTCCTGAGTGTCCACTTGGGGCTGGCTGCAAAAACCCTGAAAGACATGTGCACACCCAATCAAAAAAAGCCTGTCTTTACAGCAAAGCCAAACAGCTCAGTTGCTTTTTGTAGAGTTTTTCCATGTACCCCAGCTGCCTTTAAAGCCGAGCCATTATTTTACCAACACAAGCCTTCGCTCTCTGTCTAAATGGGTTTGATGATTGTTCTGATAATCAAGACGAGGGTAAAAATCCATACATTTCCTCATCTGTCCTTCATCTGACCCAGTTGCATCTACCATTAAAGGGTGTGCCTGTGTATACCTAAGTGTGTGCTTGTGTGCCTCAGAGTCTGTGTTTGCACGGCTTGCCTCGGTGTTCACATTGACGTGCATGTGTTCGCTGCACAGCCTGAGCTTTCTCTGCGAGCTGTTTCTGTTTTTGTGCTCTGTTGAAATTGTCTAAGGCATGACAATTTGTGCAGCTGTCTTCACATCACTCACATCCACCTGAGAGGTAGATAAGGAGTTGAGTGAAGTCTTATCAGCCTGTTTGATAACATTTATATAAAAGTTCCGCTCTGGGCAAACGCGTCTGAGCCCTATGTTACAAAGATCTTCCTCGCACTGACAACAATCTCGGCTTGAGCAGCAGAAAGTTGAGCTGGGATAAATTCAAGCAGATTCTGAAAGCTTTGGAAATTGCTTAGTCTGGCAAAACTCAGAGCATTTGTGGTATTAAGTTGATGTGGAATTACCTGCAGCTGAGCTGCAAATAGGCTGTCTTAAAAGGTTAAGTCATAAAGCACAGGGTTTCAGAGCGCCAATGCTCAGGGGCAAACTTAGATATGTGGGCTGAGTGTGCCTCGGCCTCTATTTAAGTGGAGATCAATTCAAAGCTTGTGCCTTTTAAATGAAAATAAAATGTCAAAATTTCTTACTAATTTGTAACAACATCTCAACAGGCTGGGGTTTGACCCTGTGGGAAAGCGCTGACATTTAAAGGTCCCACATTCACTTGCCATGATTTCTAATTTCCTGTTTCGACTGACGCAAACATGCTTTGTGAGGGGCTCAGACCTTTTGTTTCAGACATATTTACACTTCGAAGGGAAGGGAAACCATACAGGACATGAAACTTACACTGGTGTTAGGGCTCTATACTTCTGAATTACAGTATTTAAAACAGCATTTTAGTTTGCTTAGCCTTTTACAACCCTAATTATAAAAGAGTTGTGTAAAATATTGGAAAAACTGATTTGATAGTTCACTAAAGCAGTAAAAAACAACATGTCAAATGTTGAAAAAGGTGTTTTAAAGTTGATGCAGGTTTTTAAAAGAAAGGAGCTACAAATCACTTAAAATGTGATGCATCTGTAAAAAAAACATTTCCCCTCAGGCCGAGACTCTCAGTATGAAAAACATGAAGTTGTTGAATGTTCTTTGAGGGACTTTGTGAGCTGATAGTCCCACAATTTCAGAGTTAACTATTATTAGTGTAAAACTAAAAATATTCCAGGGATCTGGGCACTGGATGATTCAGAGGATCAGAGGAAATCTCTGAACAAATGGCATAAGGCTAAAAACTAACGGACACATTGGCAGCACAGCATTGAAATAGACATTACTCTGTGGTGGAAATCACTACATGAAATCAAAAATCACTGACAGTTCATCCCTGTATTCACTAGTGCAAATTAAAGTTGTACCATGCAATGAGAAAAGCAAATAATCATGTTCCAAAAGGCCCGTGACTTCTTCTATTGTGAGTCAGAATAATCGTCTCTTTTTGGAAATCATGGACTTTACATTCTCGGCTCACAGAGGAGAGGTATCACTCGGTTTGTCATCAGAGCAACGTCCAAAAGCTAGCATCTATGATGTTAAGGAGACAGACATGTGCATCTGGCATCGATGGCTGACGTATTTGGTGCTGTTGATACTGAACTGAACCTTAGATATTTCAGCAATTACCCAAAACCTTGTTCTGCACATATGAAAAGCACAACCCAAAGACCTGTCTGCTGTCATGACTCGTCATCTTTTGGATATTTGGTTCATCCTGAAAATCTTCAAGTATAAAACCACCCCAAACTTTTGAGCAGCTGAAACCTAAAACAGGCAACAATGAGAAAATCTTTCACTTTTTAAATTGGCAGAAACTGGGTTTACAGACCAACTCGACAGTAAAGACCCTGTCTCAACTTTAGTTGCTATCATCAGTTTTGAAATAAAAATATCAGACTACTGTAAATAAAGAATCAGAATCTGCTTTATTGACTAAGTATATGTACACATACAAGGAGTCTGACTCTGCCCTGTATGTGGAAAGATTTAACATTTACCATGAAATATTAAAAAATATTGTACAAGGCATTGAACTTGTAAACAAGACTGTTATGGCAGAAGATTCATGTCATTATACATGTCAAAAAAACATGTTCATGTCCAACACTCAGCCGCAGGGTAAATTGGAAAAATCAGCAAATAACCATGACCAGATGTGACTACATGTTAAGGCTTGAGTGAACATAATTTAGATGATTTGACTTGAATTGAATAGCTCAATATTCAGCCTTGTGTAAGCTCTCTGTCTTTGGCTTTAGTTTCATCTCTGTGAGACGTCAGGGAAGACAGTCCACCTCAGCTTCCAGTGCTATCTAAATTCCTGGGATTTCATCATCTGCTTAATTGCCTACCCTAATTTGCTTTGCTGGCACTGTCACAGCCCCATTGTACTGTTATCAAATCACTGGGCACTGTAATTAACTTTACATTGTAACCACCACCTCTGCAAACGGCACAGACCAGCTGTTAAATGGTTCTAACTTCATCATATTTCCTCTTGTTTTCCAGCAGAATGAGTACACGTGTCCACGCCCCCTACCTGGTGCCTGGCTGGGAGATGTGCCTACCATCCATTAACCCCCTAAAAAGGAAGTGCTTTGGACTGGGTCCAGCGAACCCAACTGGGATACAGGAAAGAGACGTATACAGAGAACTTATCAGGATCCTACCACCATAATTCACATTTGAGGATGCATTTGGGATGTTCCTTCCTGCTAACAAGGGCAACCACAGACTCAAACAAAGAGGAGATCATACTGTCTTTTAATTTTTCTTAAGATTTTATAAAGTCTTGTATCTGGCCTGTGGTCTTCGGTCATAGGCTTTGCTGCATTTCATCCTGCTTCACCACTTCACGATACTGACACACACAGTTGGAGAAGGAGTCTTTTGGTAAACAGCAAAGGCTGGGAGGAGGACTCATTAGCACTAATGGATGGTTCTAACCAACATGGGAGTGCATCATATGGACAAGAATAGCTCAGTGTCTCCATGAGGACAATGTGGCACCGTTGTGAACGACTGTGCTAATTCAAAAGGCTTTAAAAAGTGTAAACTGAGCAATGAATCATTGATGAAAACGCACTGAAGACGGGGTTCTGGACATTGCTAACACAACTGTGTATAATTCAAAGTGGGTTTCCATATTTTGATTTCATAAGAAAGCATCGTGTTTTCATCTTTCAATGCTTATATTTTATTTTATTTTTTTTTACAGAAGGACAGATCAAAAGGGTAGGATGGTGTAAATGTGCCTCACTGGAGCAGAAAATGTATGAAAGGAGTTACTGAGCTTTGGTGCACCTGTCAGTAATGAGGACTCTGCTTCATCAGGTGGAAATCAAGTCAGCAGCTGGAAGATCGTTTGATGCCCAAGGAAACAAACTATCCCCCAGCCGATGACTTGGAGATTATTTTCGTTTGTTTTCGATTGGTTTCGTAAAGTTTTTTTTTCCCCCTAAGTTGCTTTTGCTTGTAGCCAAACCTCTGACATCGAGTTTCAAGGGTTAAGAAGGCAACGAGAAGCAAATACGGGAGAAAAAAGGCGCCTTTAAAGGGTAAAAATGTAATTTTCTTAAAATATAATGTTGTTAATGTTGTACTTTATGAATATGTGTTCCTGCCATTTTCAACACCAAATACCAAAGAGCCAAGGAGTGGTTTTTGCTTCTGGCTCTCCCAGTCTTGGATCCTTACAGATCCAGGATTTACTCTCTTAAAGAAAACCCACGAAAAGTTCAATAAAGCCTCAACTCCCCTCACATCCAGCAGTGCTCCCTTACCAAATGGGCTTTTTTTTCATGTGTGTAATGTGTATGTCTTTGTGAATAAACAATCTTGCAAGGACAGTCTTTGTTTGGAAGATCCTGTCTGAGAGAGCACTGCTTACACCTTCCCTCAAAGAATTTGCCCGTCCCTCCCCTCGAAGAGACTGCTGTTGTTGCTGTGTGCGGTTCCATGTCTGCTTGTGTTTCATCCGTTAGGAGTTCCTTATTATATTTCCAACGCATTGAGTTGTGAATTGTTTGTTTCAACCTTCTTTCTACACAAGAAAAATGGTGATTTTCTATTGTAAATTTCTGCTTTCCCCCCTTGAATTTGTTGATATTTAGTAAGCAGCTGTATTCTTTGTTCACTTTCAACAGTATGTTTTATAATGAAAATAACAACTTTATTGTTGAGCAATATGAATTGGTCAAATTAAAATATTCATCAATCATTTTCTGTCTTTACGTTCAGTGTGCTAGATTAAATTCTCTGTGTGTTTTTGCGAGTGTGCTTGCTCTCCGGTGGAATTGAATGGGTTTGTACCCCGCTCCATGTCTTCATTCATGCCTGCTGGAGTCTGTAGTATTCCCCACAGATCCGCAGTGACCAGGCTGTCACATCAACATTAGCCTCATTAATTTAGAAAGCAGAACACTGATCTCTGTTTGAGCGCTTCGTTCGCGGAGTGAGCCCCACCAGACCTCTAATTATGCTTCTTGTGTAATGTGTCGAGTCTCTCGGGAGGGGGCCCTGCTTTGGTGAATTTCCTCCACGTTTGGAACATGTCAAGCTGTCAGCTGAAAAGTCCAGATGGTCAGTGTCCCTGTCTGTCTGTCCCTCTGTGTTCTTTTTGGCATACTGCTCCACACCTCTCAAACCCCTGCTTCTACATACCTCTCCCTCATCTTTTGGTTCTCCCCATTATTTATGTTGTTTTTGGTCACATTTTGGCATCTCTTTGGTCTTTGGTCATCTTTGGTCACATACATTGCTGCTGTATCTGTGTGTCATCTCCGTTTAATGGGACTGAATAGAACAAACAAGCTCATAATATACCAATAAAACTGAAGCAGAGAGTCCTGACAGTGAAACCATTGGTTGATCCTGAAGAAGCAGGCCTTTGTGTCTACAATGGTGGTATTTAGCTTTAATAATTGTAGACGATCTTCTATAAGTGGGAGAAAAATGTCCATCAACCTCAGCTGTGTTTAGAAATAGAACCTGAAATGGGTTTATAAAGGGCTGATGATTCACTGCTGCCTTTTGAAAGAAGTGGACGCAACATCCTGGTATGAAAAGTGCAAGTAATTTGACAAATCTCTCCTTTCAATATAAATCAGTGCCAACAATAAGAGTCAATCCTACTCCATCCTGTTACCAGCGTAAGTCTTTGGTGATTTAAAACTAAAAAGGTCCTCTCCACTGATGCAGTTGTTGCAGGTATTGTTGAGACTAGCGTCAATAGCTTTACACCCTCTGGCACAGTCTTCTGAAGGTCATTGTCTCTCAAAAAGCCGTACAGGCGACATTCTTCAGATTTCTTGGGAAACTTCAAACCTCACCAAATCAGACTGTAATCTGACTAAATCAAAGAACCATGCTTATTTTGAAAACTTCTTCAGTTTGTCAGCGTCAAAATCTACTTACAGAACTTCCACTTAACCAAGAAGCTCTAAGTTGAAGCTTCGTCTCCTTCCATCACTAGGGGATTGGTAGCATAGAGTGTTCTCAGTCAGTTTCAGTTTACTTTGTTTCTGCTAAAAACTGCCCTCACTCTAATTTCCTAAAGCAGACATGGTGTCTCTGACGCCCTCACTGCAAGGGCCGATGTCCATTGCTTTGAGGAACACAGAAAAGTGTGTCTGTCAAATTGAATATGATATCATCTACCATCAGGAGAAAATTCATCAATGCTTTTGATAACCAGAGATCAACTGAAGAGGCTTCAGTGATGGTCTCACTGTCCCATTGATCAAAGTTCTCCTGTATTGTCTGGAAAAACTGGCAGAGGTCTGGCATATGTTGGAAAACCTTACAGATGATGCTCGGGTGATGCTGCAGTCAAAGAGTGTGTTTGGTGGACTTCATGAAAAATGCAGGGAGCCCCTCAAACAGCCTTAAAAAAGATTTTTACACCGGATGGACTTCGCTGATTATGACAGAACTAAATTTAGTTTGTGTGCAAAGCAAAGTGTAAAGATGGCTCCAAACACATTTTCTTTGATTTTCGCCTGTGTGCTTTTGAGCTCCAAGGTCATCAGGCAGCGCCATGGTAGGTCTGAGTGACTCATTTCTCAGTACATTCATATTTATGTAACACGCTCAAGACGTAATCCGAGATTCCCTGTGTCCTTCTGTCATCGGTCGCATCGTCAAATCCCAAAAAGTCTTCTTGAACATCGTAGTTGAGGTTGATCTGTTGCACAAAACAACAGATATTTGGGTTCAACTGCAAAAAGAGATGCAGCATCAATATCATTTTTAATATGACACCTCATAACATCACTGATGGCTTCAATGAGATCATTCTGGATCCTGGATGTGTTTAGCTAATCTGTCATCCTTCTCCTCCAATAAATATGAAAGTTCAACATAATTCCCATGATTAATGGAGTTACTTCCCTTGTCATTCCCTCAAAAGGCAAGCTCTTGGTTGACCAGAAATGAAATAGCATCTATAAGGTTTTTAAAATCTCCCTGTCAGCCATTTCCTTTCCGTTGTGCGCTGTGACATAGAGCCTGCCCTGCTCATCCACTGCCATGTCTATGCAACTTGCTGAAGGTCTTCGGGGCAATCTGAGAGCGGATGTGCAAAGCAGATTTTTTGTGCCTCAACAAAGCTCTTGGCAGGTTGTTCAGGTTACAGTAGCCCCTGCTAACTCAAGTGCTTTCACTTCCCACCAGGAACAGCAAACATGGGAGGCAGAATAGCTTGCTCACCGTATCACATCCACACAGCCAGTCAACCTTCTGATACCATTCCACGTAAAAGTCTTTACAATTTTTTGTCCCCTCCTTTGGGTTAACGCCTTGAGGTCAGGTGTCGGCTTCCCTGATATATATTTTTTTCTTTTCAAGGTGGAAAAGGTTCTTACATGAGAGATCGCCATTTTTTCTGGTAGCTAGGCAAAATCAATGCAATACAAACCGGCAGCAACAAACAATCGCGAGCAGAGACCTCATAGAGAGAGCAGGGTATTACAACCTACAGAGGCAGAGACACACCCTGCCTCAACAGTGCAGTTTGCACCTGCCTCTCAGACGTGTTCAATATAGACACTAAAGCCCCCCCCACAATCACTTTCAGGGTTTGATTAATCGTATTGTGGGTGCTGAATATTTACACTTGGATATTCTCCTCCTGGTGTTTAGCGCGTTCTGAAAATCTGCATCTGTGTGGTATTTTGTTTATTTGACAGACGCAGTCCTCGTGTATCTGCTTAAAAAAATCAGCTTTGCACGTGTCTTTGTACGCACAGACCTTCAGTAGATCAGGCCGGTTCTCTTTCCTGTTGTTGACTCGTCCTTCACCACTGGTCTAAAATTTTGTGCCCTCCAGAATCAAGCAGCACTATCAGAAAGTAAGGATGAGGTAAAGTCTGGGACTCCCTTTCATAGATCAATCTGACATGTGTGATGTGTGTATTCAGATTTTCCTCCATGTTGCCTTTAATTTTCAGGATAAATATATCAGATATATCAGAGGCTTTTGACCAATCAGAATCAAGTATTTAAAACAGCTGGCAATAAGTGAGACAGCAGAGTAATAAACTGTTAAATGAGGATTTATTTTCAAAGCCATGTCAGAC